AATCTATCTTTTGTTTACCCTACACATAATCCTTATCCTTCCAAGATTTCGAGTACTTTTCTAGAACCCTCTGACACAACCGTTTTCACCGCTCTCTACCGACCTGTCTTTTCAAATCAAAATCACAAATTCTGTCACTCTTCCTTCATCCGCTAAACCGACAACATTGAAATAAATTCTCCACAAACACAAGTACTGTTTTAATCACCTGATCACTCCACAATTGGTGAGACCGACGTGGGTTTCTTTTAGCATGGTGAGTGATCAGTGTATGTTAATTTAAAACGATAGCGAGGGTAGTCCTTGTATATTCATTTGTACGACCAAGTAGATTGGTTCAAATGTTGTATGTTGTACGTCAGACTTTTATTGTTAGGTTAATGTATAGATTAATCTATCGAGTTATAGTCTGATTTAATTGTGACTGTCGCAACAGCCCTCTGGGCTAGTCTATATGATTATATATGATTATAGTGAACATAAAACAAAATATTATTTTAATCGTAACACTAAAAAACAAACTATCACCCAATTGGTTACACTGATTTTTTATCTGTAGGGAAATATAAAAACAAGTTACTGAAGTAATCTACGCCATGCACGTAACATAAGTGAGAACATCCAGCAAGGGAAAGCACACTGTTAAGTACGAGATATTAAATACTTAAAGCTATCTTGCATTCAATTTTAACTGATATACATATTCATGTTTTTTTGTTGTTGCGATAGTCAGTATAACCTATGAGCTCTGTACTATCAGGTAATGCGTAATCATTTGAATTTATTGCCTTGTTGGGCTCCAACTAAATGTCTACTGTAATCATAAACATTTTTTTTATATACAGACACCATTAGGAATTTGGTTCACTTCAATGGTTTCGGGTATGGCAAGTGTCAAGTGAATTTAGCCTTCTCACACAGACACAAATTTTCAAATTACTATAGGTACCAGAAAGAATTTGAAAAAAATTCTTTAATTATTACTAAAACAGTTGATACATCGTTTAAAAATCTACAAAAGTACATCTAGGCATACAATTTGTACTGCAGTTTTTAGCATGGTCATTATGGTATGTAATAAATTTTGTGGTACAAATTTATAGCATTAACTGTCACATGTTCCATTACATAAAATCGAGCTCAAAACGGATAACAAATCATCATACTGCTACTTTGTATGTATACATATAATTTGAACTGAGAAGTAACGTTGAAACATACCTTTCAATTTTAAAATAATTTCAAAAACTTGGTATAGTTTTCGAAATTTCATTTTACCCTATAAAATTTTATTGGCCATAACGAGACGGACAGTAGTACAATAGGAAGAGATATTTACAACCTAAGTTGTCGCGTGCCGGTAATCACCAGATGTTAGAAAGCAGAATAATCCGGGTCCGAACAGGGACCATCGTTACTCAGGAACGAAAATGACCATTATTTTATGAGTACAACTACCTGCTAAATGTTCTCCGCAAATTCGGATGAACTGGTATGAACCATAAATATTAATTACCATGGTACTACTGTCCGTCTCGTTATTGTGAATACAATTTTATAGGGTAAAGTGAAATTTCCAAAACATCAAAAGTATCCATTATGATTCATATAGACTTTAGTCAGGTTAGAATTATGACAAAGTGCTATGGTAACCGGTAGTTAGATTTTAACATTGCTCCCAATTTTTTATCACGAGTTATCAAGATCGTGTTTCATTATTCTTGTCATGATTGAATAATATTACACTGGTACATATAATATTTTAACGTATTCCTTTGATTTATTATAAAGAATTTTTAAAATTAACATTACATCACTGCGCTAAGTTCGAATTGGTAATTTATATTACTTGATGAAGTTATTGAACTTATTTTATCGAAAACATGATACTAACTTCTTGCAAAATTAAAAGATTAATAAAATAACAACGGAAAACTTTTGCAGTTAACTCAGTCATGTATGTAGGCTGGGCTACAACCTGAAATATTTTGTTTTATGTATGTTTTTCATTAACTCCCGCGATAAAGGCCAGTTAAATGAAAATTTTATTTGAACTTGAAAGCTTATCAATTTAACGGTATTCTGTTCTCGTAATTTGGCCTCAATAATTAACATTTGAAATACACTGCCACACAAAAAAAATTCGGACACTAGCATTTTTTATGATCACCTGCAATTGTCGAACTTTTGTAAAAACTGTTCCAAAGAGCAAAACATGAATGTATTCATTAACAGAAAATATAACTTTATTCTAAAATATGTGTAAACAGAAAAAGTAAAACAAGTTATAACTTTAGCATACAAGTTACAAATATTCAAGTGTCCGGATTTTTTTGTCTGGCAGTATATTTTGATCTTCACAATTATAAAATGCATTGTTGAGAGCAATGATACGCCATGTCGAAATCCAATTTAATGTTACTGTTCGCATTCATTTGTTATAAATATATAGTATATTAGTTCAAGTTGACGCAATAAACTCAGGTATAGTAAAATTCACAAGTAATTATCGACACGATAAATGTAAGAACTATATCATACATCGACTCATTTAAGTATAGTAGATTACCTTTATCTAGGTAAGAATAATCGTAAAATACTTTAGTATTACGTCATTACGCATTATGTATCATTTTTCTTTGAAAAATACAGCTGTGTAGGAGTAGCAGGCATTTTTTGCTAGTGCATCATAAAGGTGTAACACAGAAAATTAACTCATGTATTGCACTAGATTTTCACAAATATATTCTGATTCGGATTGGTACAGACGAATTTTAATTTAATAAACCTGTTTAAAAGTGAAATATACATGCACATTATGGACAAGCACAACTTATATATTTAATTATTTTAAATATTAGTTTATCTTGGAGTTGAATTGTTTTCTGAAATGGTTGATTACAAATAAATTGTTATTAAAATTTCTGTGCGTGTTAATATAAAAGTAACATCAAAATGTAAAGGAGGACAAGGTAAGACGTAAGCATATCCATCCCCCTTCGTCGTCTTAATCCATTTTTTTTAGTACCATCTGACCGAAAAAAAACTTCCACTAGTCAACCATGGAATTATTTTTTTTAAATTGTGTTGGTAAAATTTCCACTGTCACAGTTGTTCGTTTTTGAGGTTATGGGATATTATTCGTATAATTATATCTATGCATTGCATTAGAGCGTAAGATCAGTCACCCTTTTCTTGCTTGATTCCATTTCTGTAATAACTGTGAACAATAAAAATTGATGTTTTATTCCAAGCAGTTTTCTGTTACACTTAACAATACAAATGTCAAAGTGACCGGAACTTCAATGGAAAATAACAATACCGACCCAATTTTTGAAAAAGATAAGTCCACGGAGGGAATTTTTCTTGATCGTATCACATTTCAATTAATTGCGACTTTTGAATGAATTCTCAGTTTTGCCAATTATGTTCAAGTTGAGTGAATAATCCACTTTGTAACATTATGGACTGTATGGTCTCAATTTGTAAAATTTATGCAATTTAGATATGAATTAAGTTTTTTATGCTCACTTATTGTGTCTGAATTAATTGGTGTTCTTAACTTTAACTAAGTTTTAATCAATCAGTTGAACTTTTTGAACTGCACTTAAACTACTGATATTTATTGCAATAACTGTGAACAATCGGTGTCTAAAGAAATTTGTACATTGTTTTGATTGGCCGTACTAAACGGTATTTAAATGGACTCAACTTTCATAATCTAAAAATAAACGAAAAAGAAGTGTCTCTTTTAAGGCAATATAAAATTGGTCGTTGAAATTTGGTTTTAGGTTTTTTTAATTTTATATACATATGTATATGTAAATTTTCAAAATAACAGAAGTGGTATCCAAGATTTTCTGGCCGCGACTGTAGTTTTTATCAAAAATTGTACACCAATTATGTACAACAAAAATCAAATTTAGTTTTGAATACGTTATTAAGCATACGAGAAAAATAATTTGATGTCTCCACGACTAATTTTTTAAATGTGTTAAATACAAAAATAAATTCAAATTGTGTTTGAAGTGGTTCATAAAAATGTGTTTTTTTATACATATACACTCACCGGGATAAAAAACGGGCCAGCTAATATTTTTCTGAGTACAGTGCTTCGACTTTTTTACTACGCTTATGTTTGATGTTATTTCTTGATCAGCATATTAATTTAGTGTACCCGCACCCCATACTTTAGATGAGCTTCACAATATGCTTTTAAAAGGAATGAGAGAATATCCGACAATAAACAATTTATTTCATGGGATGTCCTGGAGAATAGCAGCAATCTTACCGGTTCGTGGGGGAAATACCCGTTATTGACGTCATTAAATAGTGTGTAAATGATCATTGATTTTGCTTTCATTTTTTTTCAGCTTTGTTTGATTATTGAATTTTTATCATTTTCTATTAAAGTAATATATTTTTTAGTTTTTTTTGGATAAAAATATTATAATAAACGTTGCATAACCACATCAAAGTATTGCAATTGAAATCCTACTTTATTTCGTACATTTTCGGATCTTTAAAAAAAGAAAAACACGGGTGGTCCGTTTTTCGTGCCGGTGAGCGTAGTATACCCTCAAAATGGATCCTTTTTTGTGTGATTTGAAAGGAAATTTATAAAAACTAAGAGCATGTTCGTAAGTGTTACAACTGATATTGGACCCTACAAAACTTCGTAACACTTTTTTAGGACCCATTTTTCACATAAATGGTAATTTTTGTTATTTTCTGTCGAATTCAGTTCTTGTGTACAGAAGTTACATCTTTGTAATGAGGTCTTTGTTTACCAAATACTTTCACTATTATCTTATTTTTTTATGAAAATTAACACCATTAACTCTTATTACTGCTCTCTTCTGTTGTTTTTAAAACTCATTTACGCTAAACTCTGACAAAACAGGGAAGGCCCATACATACATATTAATATCAAATTTGTCCATGCAATATTTCTTATTAATATATGCACTTTTGGCAATATAAAAAGATCCGACACCTACCTGCTAAGGTAAACCTATCCATGTAGTTAATAAGATTAACGAAACATAATATAAAAACCATAATCCATTCACGTATTTTAACATCTCTAATAGTCCTTTCACTCGGAGAAGTTTCAGTACTTTCTTCATTCGAATGAACAAGTTCTGCTCTGGAATTATTTTGTGGGATATCAGTTTCCATTTTGTTGATATGTTTTAACACCAAAACTCTTTCGAACTTTTCAGACGGCATGACAGCACGACACGTTAAATAACCTAACCTCTTCGCACACACTACCGGAATGAAAATTAAACGGAACTTGTTTGATTTCCATGTTGGCGGGAGTCGGAAGCGCATGCGCAGTCACACGATGATAAATAACTTTGGCTGAAAATTTGTGCTGGATTTGTAAAACACAAAAACCGACTTCACTGGGAGCAAGAGTCACAAAAAGTTTAAAGGCAGTGTTTTCTTCGCAAAAACTTTTATCAATCACAACTTTGGAACGAAATTTGTCACGAGCACTTGACAGCTGTTGCGGCTGCACAATGTGAATGCAGATCTCTGTTTTACCTTTGGCTCGTTTATATGCATACATGAAACTAAACCCGAATATACAGGAAACGCGATTTATACGGGGGTCTTCAAACGTGACGTCAGATGAGTTTGTTGTTAAGACAGTGATGAACGTGATAGTCCACTTGCTGTCGGTACCTTTGATCTCGGCGGGGCGTGCGCATTACAGTTCAAAAAAACGGGCCCCTAGCGCATGCCGTATTGCCGCTTAGTACCATTGTCGTAGTTGCCACATCGCCAACAAATCTCTTTAACGCATCCCGAGTCCCAAAATGACAAGTATCAATTTTACAACAGCTTTTATGGTAATAAAATGATGTAAAAACTAAAGATAGTAGATTTTTTATTACGCAAATTTTCTTTTTACTTCTGATCAAGGCCCCAGCTGTTGTTAAAATATTTGGCAATCACTATTGTATGAAGGCTTTCGAATGTAAAAACCTCAAAAAATTAACAAAATGATTTGGATGGCCATTGCTACGTACAGTCAGGGACACGGAATTTCATAAAACTGCACGTTTTCACATTAGATAAGGGAAAAAATTATATAGAACCACAAGAACAAAGTACCATGTAGTTAATCAAATTTATTTGTAAAAAATAACCACATTTCATTTATTTATTGACAAAAATAAATACGCCCTAATAATAAATATACGACACAAAACTTTTCAGATAATGTGATCGTAGAGCGTGATAGATGGATAGCTAATGCTTACTGGAAAGCAACAGGACAAGTCTACATATATTAATCAGAGCCTCCCTTTATCTGAAAACTAATATACAAATAAATACACCTACCACTAAAAATGACTTGAAGAAAGCCCAACAGTTTAACATATCACAGTCTAATATACGAAAAATATAGACGTCTAACAAAAACTTGACTTGACAACTTCTACAGATGTCGTAAACTATTATCCAATCTCGCTTTTTCTGATGTCATGTTGATTTTAAACGTTCCATATTGGCAATTTTTGTTCAATGGAATATTCTCATTCTTACAAAGACAGCAAATATTCTATTTGAAAATTATCACTTGGGAGAGCGTAATTAATAGTTGCTAGCAGCTCCTTTAACTTAAGCCTACATTTGAACCTAAAGCCACTGTCTGAAAAAGTTCGCAGCAGACGTTATCCTGTTTTTAATATACTCGTAAAATCCTAATGACAGCATTGTTAATCCTTCAAATAGATTTGGTCGATTGAAATGCCATGCAACATGGAAAACCTGTTCAGTCATTTCATTCACTTCATACTGAGTATTCCCATATTCAACACACCTGGAACAAGAATGAGGTGATAAACATTTCTAAAATAAATACCCACATATGTAGTAGAGGATATTCTACATTTGTATGTTCTGCAGTTTCTACAGTTAAAGGAGTAAAAATGTTTTTCTCTGGAAACAAATAGGTAGTCAAAATTATAAGCACTCATCGTTCCGCTGTCTAATATTATTAAAAATGTTCTCCATCGTCAACATTGTTTGTTCCTTCACAATGCTGAAAATAATCTAAACAAATTTCATAACCTAAAAATGATTAATACATTATGTTAATTCCAACAAAAATAAAGTGAAAGAGTAAATAGGTACTTATCGTTGTGGACGGCCTTAGTGGTGTTGCTTAATCAGAGTAAACACTGCCAGAAGTAAAATGTGACGATTCATAAATGTCAATATTTTTTGAGGTGGAAAGTCTTGGTTCGTTTGTCACAACTGTTTGTTTGGTAGTCCTTATTGTTTCACCTAAAATTTCCAATTATTCTACTAATTTAATTTTCAATAAGACGGCACCTGAAACATGAAGAGTTGGATAGGCTGTTGCTTTCGGTCGGTGGCACAACAGCTGATGTGGATACATTTTTAGTTCAAAGTGACGAATGCAAATCCGATACCTTCTGTAACGTTCTGTTGCAGAATTATTCATGACTGATTCTAGTTTAACTATTCTTGCCCATAAATTTGACCTGTATGTAAACAGTTTAATTTTATAATAAACAACATAGCACACACATATCACTGCGCTAATATGTAAGAAAACAAAGATAACCTTACCTAACCTAAATCATCAAAACGAAATATAAAAAAAGTGGCACTAGGCACTAATCTACAAAAGAAAAGAAAATTGTAATAGTTTTGCACGACTGCTGCAACGCCCTTAGTCACTTTTAATACGCGATATTCGTTAATTCGTTCACAAAAAGTAAATCACTAATTCAACCCATCCGATCAACATTTAACGTTGAAGTGACACAGAAATATTAATAAACGTGTTATGTTTAGGTTTTGTTAAATCAATTTAAATCAGTCAATAACAAAACCAACAATTCGCACACCTAACTTAAATGTGCAATTCCAATACTACAACATAACCTCAATCAACATAACAGCATTTTCGCATCTGACAGTTCAATAACCTAGCCTTACAACCGATGTTTAAATTTACCACGCAAAATATATTGCGCGGGATACCTGCGTAAGGCAAAATTGACTCCATGAAGGTTGCGGAGTGGGATATCACGTTCATCACTGGTTAAGACACAATTTAATCATTTCTATTTACAGATATTGTCATATGTAATATTGTATTTGTGTAAATTTCGGCAGAGACTTGAATACTGTTGAAAGGGTACGATTTCAGTTCACCTCACCGTTATTTCACAAACTGTCGTGAAATGTAGTTATGTTATGACTACTCAAGTTGGTGTTGGTGAATCACTGTAAAGTCGATAATGATGATTATAGTTATTTTTCTTTCATTATAATTTAATATTTTATTAAATAATCGAAATTATAGATGATATGTGGTCTGTAGTTTGTAAAATTTGCCACGAATTTTATTTGTATTGCGTGATATATTTGATAGTGATGTTCAGCTTTTAAACTTTTGTTCTTCACATACCACACCACTAAGGCATAATTAATTATTCCAGTATTTTTGCAAGAGTACCTAATTCTAAAAATTTCATAGAGTGGCCAACACTTGTATATACATATATACAGGATGTTATTGAAAGGTACATACAACAAAATTGACAGTTCTTCGCGAGGTCTAAGAAGTCTTAAAAACTTATTTTGTGTTATCAAAATTATAAGGGGAAAATTAACCTTTATCCAACCTTTTTAGACGCTACTGAAAGATAAATAGGTAAAATTAATTTATTTTAATAAATCCTAGCAACTGTAACAATAAAACTTTTGTCAAGACTAAATTTTGCTATAGAAACCAGAGATGATGTTTTTATTAGGGGCGTACAACGAATTTGGACATAAATTTTAATAATTTTTATCTCTAAAAGGAGAACACTTTTACTTGAACTTTTTTTAACTTTTAACACCCATACTTCGAGACCAATTGCCGATTTTATTTTGTACGTACCTTTTAATAACACGCTGTATCTAGTCATTTCTACTTCTTCCTCTGCAAGGACTCTATACAATGAAATAGAAAACACGTTATTTTGTTCGTATTGCACTTTATTTAGATGATAATACACATATGATGTATTACGAAATATATAAACAAATTAGGTAAATTCATGGATAAAACACAGAAGTGCACAGTTTAGTATTAAAAACTACTCTATAGGAGAATGTATTGCACAAATATATCAACAGACAGTAAAATCTTCATGTACTAGTTGAATAGTCAATAATAATCAATACTGTTTATACTTTTAAACAAGCTGACGTTATTAAATAAGTACATACGTGAAAGCCTTGGAAAAATATCACTGAGGTAAGTGAATTGCATGACATCTGTAAATGGTACCAGAAAACTAGAGTTATCAGAGACATCTCTAATACGTTAACATAACAGTTTCAGTTCTATTTTGAATCAAGTTGTACAGTATTGTTAAAATAATTAAGACACATATTAGGTTAGTGGATGGTTGTTAAAAACAACATAATGCAAGAAGCATCCACTATAAATGAACTCCCTGTTAAAGTAGTTGTTATAAAGATACTTGATCATAGATAAAATCTAGATACTCTTCAGTTACGTTGAAAAACTTATGGATCACAGTGCGATCGAAAAATAAGGGACTTTTACTGGGGTGAGTTTTTGAAACTTCAGTTTATAACCATACCTTGTGAATCTCACACCACGCTGTTTACGAATAACACTTTCAACATTAGTGACACTGGGATAAACGTCATGTTTACAGGTCAATATGACATATTTATAATTCAATGTGACATGTTGACGTGTAAACATCTAGAATGTATAAATATTTAAAATTGTCATGTCTACTTGTCAACATAACAATTAAACTTATTATTCCATAATCTACCACGTGCGAAATATGGCGTTAAACGTAAACAATCCAGCTTTACATTTCTCAATCGTGTCATTAGAGTGCCGTTGAAAAGAAGTAAACGAATGTAACCATTTTGGGCAGTTGAACGTTTGGATAGTTCTGAAGTATGACATTTAACAATTGCGCAGCGTTGAAATTTTTGGTGTATATAATCACATGCGTATACCCACTGCATATTTTTCGTGTAATAAGCTTTAATCTAAAAACAGGCTAATATCACGATAGACATGCTCAGAGTATCATTATCAACTGAAGTTTAAAAAATGCATCCCAATCTATACGTCACACTTGTGTTTCCACCAAATTTCAATGCACAGTGATATAACTATTATTTTTGGTTTTGTTAATTATAATAAATTTGAATGAAGTTTTAAGTCTTTATAGTTCAAAGTTTAACATACAACTAATTCATTAATTGGAATGGCTCATGGTTCCCTTTTTCGGTCGCACATTATTACAAATTACCAAATATTTGTCTCCTCGAATACAAAGATAAAAAAAGATGAATAGTTTTATCAAATCACAGTCTATAATTCTACTCCCAAAAAATGCCTCAACGAAAGTGTTCTGACTGCTTGTTTCAACATGATTATAACAACAGTTTTAAACCACTGGGAGTAAGTATTAAAATATTTGTATCTAATACAGACAGCCTTTAAGCGCTTAATAATACAAATATCCAACGCTTAAAAAATCATTTTTGATTTTCGTTTTATGATGGTTTAGTACTTTTATTCTGCCCGCCTCTATACTTTCTGCCATCTCCGTTATGGTAGTGGTTATTATTGGTCCCCCTTCGCCCTTGATACTGGGTTGAGTTACTGCCGTTACTTTGCAAATTCGGTAACCCGGCACTGTCCGCGCTTCCATTTCTTTCCTGTCTAGTTCCCTGTTGCCAAAAACTTTGCGAATGTAGAGGGGGGAACCAGTTGCCTCGATAATGGCCACTTCCATTTCCTCGATGTCGCCCGTTGCCGCGTCCCTGATTGGTTCCTGTCTTTTGAGATTCTTTGTACGTGGCTGGAGAATCACGCAACTGAAAATGCGACACGCTAGCGTTTTCACGACGCAAATCGGAATTTTCTCGACGCAATCTTCGGATTATTGTCTCAGCATCGTCGAGTTTCCGCAACAATTCTGGATCAGGTTGAAGCGCTCTCTCACGTTCTTTTTCTCTGTCACGTTCGTAACGTTCAAGTTTTCTGTGACAAAAGTCAAAACAATGTTAATAAATAATGATACAATAATACATAAATTGGTGTTAAAAACGCATCAAAAGCATTAAAATTTGTGTGGTATGACGTGAGTAATCGCTTTTTAACTTTTTTAAATTTTTACGTCTCATTTTTTAAAGGAGCCCAAAAACACATCTCGTAATTAATTTCACATTTTTTGTAAAACTTTGCATTCAAGTTTTTCGTTAAATGTTGACTACTGTTGCATGAAAATCAAGGACTACGAGAATTGTTTGGAAAAAATAAATAGGAGCAAAATTATCTGCAGTTGGTGTATGTTATGGTGCATACGTTTTTTAGCTCCTTTAAACAATGAACTATAACGAGGACCGTATGCATTTTTTTAATTACGTAGGTCAATTTTTTGAATAAATATTGTATTGTACAATTACTGCAATTCGTTTGTAATAACGCGCAATAAGACTAAACTCAACACAAATGCAAAGAATAGCCCCTGTGGCAAGCTAAAATTGAAATAACCGGACGGAATATGTTCACAGACGTATTATGGAACGAGCTATTATGAACAATTTTTTACAATTTCTTTCTTTAAGATGAGATAAAGGAAATAAGTTCGTACTTAACCTTTGCAATGTTTTAAAAAATAAAAGAATAAAAGCATAAATATAGAATTTTACGACGAATTCATGCTGGCATTGCTGCCAAAAATTCAGAATTGGCAATCATTATTAGTCACCTGGTATTTAAATTTTAATATATCTTAACTTTGCTTATAACGTAACTGAATTTTTTGTATTTCTCAGCTGATCAATAAAGTAAATCGCTTGAAATGTATTTTTCTAAACAGCATGTTAATCAACAAAACTGCTTACGATAAACTTAAAACGTTTTCAGCAGTTTCAAAGTTAAACTGTAAAATGTTGAAAAATCATTGAAATTTGGTACACAAGTAAAAGTATATATTTGAACTCTATCCTCTGAAATATTATTGAAATTTCCATCAACATTTGTTTTGGAGATACAAGGCCAACTTGATTTTTTACTTCCCGAGCGTAAGCCAAGGAACTATAGTAATTGAGTCCATTGGAGGAATTGCTACTTTTATGTTTTCTCGACGTTTCATGACCCCTACACACGAAAAAATTTGTATGTAGATTAGAAATATCATGTAAATGTTTAAACTCTAACCAAAATTTGGCTAATCATCTCCACCAACGTCATGTCAATGAATCATATTTTAAAATGTTTTGAATGTTATACAAAAATATTCTCCTATATTTGTAGTGTACGAATCCGCTTTCAGTTTTTTCGCTAAACGTTCAATTTTTACAAAAACATTTCAAGGTTTAATAACGTTATATTACCAATACGGGATACAAGTCTTCGTGACGCAGTGTCTTTACTAGGGGAACGGCGACTTGCGGTCGTGGATTCGATGCCGAACTTGGCCCTTTCTTTTTTTTGCAATGGTAATGCGCTGTAACAACTTTTATTTTGTGCTGTGACTAGTATTATCCATGTTGATGACGTCATCACAATTTTTTTATTGGTCAAATTGAGAACGAGTCTCGAAAATATGAGAATGCGTACGTCTTTATATAATAATGATAAAATAAGAATTATAATATTCAGAACATTTTGTTCGATTGTGGTTTAGTTAATAATTTTAGTCCTGTTTTCAGAAGACAAACTCACTTAAATGAAATTAATTTCTACGTGACATTCTTTTGATGTATAAACATAAATAAACACTTGAGCTTTAGATTGCCTAGTGCTGAAGGACATTGTATCCCCTTAGTTATGTATTTTAAATATATACTAGCTTTTCGCCCGCGGCTTCGCTCGCGTAGACGATTCGTTGTGTTGAAGAGCATTGTTATCAACCTTCAAATAAAAAATGTGTTGAAGGACATTAATACAATTTCCAGTAAAAATCCACATAAAAAATGTTTGCTCATAAAAACTTTGTCACCCCCTTTCAACTTCTTAGGGGTGAAATCTGGAAACAATCTGAAATACGTGTTTCATTATTTGTGTTGAAGAGTATTAATACCAAGTTCCCCGTAAAAATTTAAATTTACAGTAGAAATATTTTTCCCATATAAACTTCGGCACCACTTTTCACCCCCTTAGGGGTTGAATTTCGGAAAATGCTTAAATATGTGTTTCATTATTTGTGTTTGAGACAATTAATGCCAAGTTTCACGTAAAAATTAAATTTACAATAGAAATATTCCCACACAAATCTAGCGACCATATTTCACCCCCTTAGGGGTTGAATCTCAGAAAATGTTTAAATATGTATGTGTTTCATTATTTGTGTTGAAGAGCATTAATTTAATATCAAGTTTCACGCAAAAATTTAAATTTACAATAGAAATACTTTTCCCATACAAACTTAACCACTTAACCAGTACTTTTCACCCCCGTAGAGGTTGAATCTCGGGAAATGCTTAATTACGTGTTCCACTATGCATTAATACTAAATTCCATGTCAAAAATTTACAATAGAAATAATTTTTCGATATAAAGTTAGCCACCACTTTTCACCCCCTTTGGGGTTGAATCTCGAAAAATGTTCAAATACGTGTTACAGTACTTGTGTTGAAGAACATTATTACCAAGTTTCACGTAAAAATGTAAATAAACAATAGAAATATTGTCCCATACAAACTTAGCCTCCACATTTCACCCCCTTAGGGGTTGAATTTTAGAAAATGCTTAAACACCGGTTTCATTATTTGCGTTGAAGAACATTAATACCAAGTTTCACGTAAAAATTTCAATTTATAGTAGAAATATTGTTCCTATACAAACTTAGCTGCCCAAACTTATTAGACACCACTTTTCACCCCCTTATGGGTCGAATCTCCGAAAATGCTTAAATACGTATTTCCTTATTTGTATTGAAGAGAATTAAAATGTACCAGGTTTCACGTAAGGATGTAAATTTACAGTAGGCGTATTGGTTCTATACAAATTTTATCACCCCTTTTAAAACCCCTTAGGGGATGAATTTCGAAAAATCCATTCTTAAACGATGCCTTCAGTATAAAATGAACATTCTCTCCAAATTTCAACTTTCTAGCATTAGCGGTTTGGGCTGGGCGTTGATAGGTTAGTCGGGACATTGTCTTTTATGTATAAAGATTACACTGTCCGTACTTGGGGACGCAAATTCCAAGGACTGCGGGGGTGTTATTTATGCCGCTGATTTTTACTTTACAGAGGTTATAACAAAACGAAAATCGTAAAATCAAATTTTATACATTTTTTAAAGAGCAGGGATTTGTCGGATTATACTTCAAGAGCGAGGGAATTTCTGCCGAAATAACCTTCCACCATTTTTTTTTAAATAGCACATGTCTTTCTTTATTTGCAACAAAAGGCATAAAAAATTAAAATAATACAATTTAGAAAGACATTTTGTTTGTTTTACTTCAGTTAAATGTGTTATTTTTACAATTTTACTTCATTTTTCTACCTATCAAGCAAAAGTGGTAAACAACTAATGATAGATGAAGACAACATTTCCTAGGCTAAACAAATTTCACATTTTCCAGATTGTATTATTTTAATGTTTTTTTAAATTTTTGTTATTTTTAGTAGGTATCTAAAATGCTTTGCATCAATTTTTCCCGGCGGTTTGGCAAAAGGTAAATTGTTAATGGTGACATGTGGTATTTTTCAAAATGGGGTACGACACTGCTTGTCAGAAATTGACAGTGACACTGTTAAATTTACAAAACCTAATTTAAGCTGCGTGAATTTTTAAATTTTCAAATAGTGCGACAAAATGTAGTGTGGTGGTGTGGTACTTTTCAACGGCCGCGGCTATACGTAGAAATAACTAATATAGCTGACGCCGAATTTACACCCATTGGTAAGATGTTGGTACAAAACCTTGATTTATAACGGTAGACTTTTGCCAGTGACCAACTCCACAAAAAGGATTATTATTCCCCATTATTAAATGTAGTAGAGTTATAACCTTATAGAATTTGGAAAACAATACTACACTATAAAAAATTTCTATTGATTTCAATAGGTACTCAATTTTTTTAAGCTTCCTGATATTTAATAATGGCCAATATAGTACCAAAACCAAGTTTAGTTGTTTTTACTCGACCATCTTTATCCCCTAACCTCGTCTTCAATTTTTTCGCAAAATTTTTGAGGGATTTGTCAAATATTTTTTAAGATTAGCTGCTTCAGGTATGGCGAAAAATACGATACTGATACTGTATCCACCGTAGAATGTAAATGGCTTTTGTAATCTCAAATTGTTTAGGAAATCTCGACCACAAAAGTGACACATTCAGTGGTACATAATATACTATTTCTTATTTTCATTACTATCGTATTTGGCTGCAAATACAGCAGGAAATAAAATATTTACAGATGATCCCCTCACCGGAGGAGGTAATTTATGGACATTAGTCATTACTTCTAGAGGATTGCTAAGGAAAGTTTAACAATAGAAGTATTACAATTTTACGTTTGCTTGGATTTTAATTACCTATCTTCATCAAAAATTTAGAACATTATCTTAAAGTATTATAAATAAATTCGTACTGACAAATATGCTCTGCGATGTATGGAGTACTAGTTGTGCTCTTGTTATTGCTTAATAAATTTATTATAAGCTGATACGTCACCATATAGTCACTAGTTATTTGTAAAAGTCTAGTTTTGTTATTTTTGTAAAGCCAAAAAACGAAGAAAAAATAGAATAAATGTCCAATTTTTAAATTTGTGAGAAAATACTATGCGATCGAAAAAAAATTTAATTAAGAGTTGGCGTTGTCTATCAAACGTTGGATGGTACACCTGAATTTGAATACATGAATTTTTGTTGCACGTGTTTAATTTGTGATCCTGTTGCCACTTGACAGAATGATGTGATGTGTCAGTTAGAGCATGGCCTACTCCATTAATCTCTTGAGAGATTAATGGAGTAGGCCATGGTTAAAGTTCGACTCACAGGTAGTCTTTTCACCAAAATATTAAAACTTTATAATTTCAAATTAAATTGGCGCCTCCCGCCTTAACCCGTTTTATTTTTACGGTTTTACTGTTTAATTTCGCTAATTTCAACAAAACACGCTTTGTTAATTAAAATATAAATATGTATTAAAGAGAATCAATAGGTACCTACCCAATTTTCTATAATTTTTATTTAATTTCAAAAATTTAATAAGATTTATGATTCCACAGATAGATTGGCAACTGGTACACAACTTGGAGAAAATATCTCTTTTGAAGAATTTGGAGAAGACTGAATTCTGTCAATATGTATAAAAAGCCATAAGAAGCAGTAGTGGCCAGAGTTCACTAACCAATCTGTGTTGTGTTGTTTTGTTAAATAAGGGGTAAGTGTTAACACGCATGCATTGATAATTTAAAACGTTTATTAGATTTTGTCATGTTTATTTTTTTAATAACTTTGAATTGTTTTCGATATTTTTATAAATCGCCTTTTACATTTTTTTTGTTAATTGACGTTGACCACGTAACTATTAAACCGTTCCTTACTTTTTGCATTTTGTAGTATTTCTTGAGTTCTAATTTTTTTATAGTTCGGATTTTTTTTATAATTCGTTCATGTCTTTGGAAACTCATGAATTGTATTGCTAGGTTTCGTTTCCAAATTAAATATACATATCGCACTGTGAGAGCAATACTCACGTAAGTCAAAATTTGCCGAATTCTTAAATTTATCATTAATGCATAAAAAAGTTAATGTAGTTTTAGTAAATGTAAGTATAAACGGTTTTTAATAGTTGCGTAATGCTCAAATTCATCAAAATGTTTGTATTGCATTTCCGAACATTACTTGTGCACTTAATGCAAGACTGCCGTATCTCAAAACTAAGTGAAATGCACGTAAGCTATGAAGCTATGAGATTTCAGTCGATGTTGATAATCTGATACTCCTACTAATTTAGGTACAAATTGAACACAACAAATGCACAATGTCTTCTGATATAGTTAAGAATTGACCGAAAACATGGAAATCAATTTTTCTTTGAATAGGAAAGGTAGGAAAGTTAATTAGAGCGAAACAAAAAATTTAAAATTTGTCAAAAATTCCGATGGAATTTTGTAACTTCGTATAGAAAGGAAGTATATCAGGAAATAATAGTCAATCAATTCCCGAATATCACGACAACGGCGGCGTCAGACTTAAATGAAAATGATTAAACAATATCTATGAAGGTCCTTTAGCAATACGAAAAAAAATACGATGGACTGAATCAATTATGTATAAAAAAACGAATTAAATAAAATTATAACACATTTTATAACAATTTAGCCATAGTACACTGACCGGCAAAAAAAAACCGGCCACCCTGAAAAACTGTCCAAAACGAAGCTTTAAAAATTGTTAATTTAACTAGTAATCGTTATTTTATTAAAGAACCATTCACTATTGACATATAAGGTATAAATTAGCAAAAAAAAGAAGCCAATTAAACGCAGAATTAAATTTAATTTAACAAAATAACAGAAACAGAGCGACACTTTGAAAGACGGCTGTAAGAGTTAACGGAATTATTTTCGCGTGAAAATGTTTATTAATTGCCAAACTTATAATCAAATGATGAAAAACACTATTTACAACAACAGCCTCCTTTATTGTTTTTTTTAAGAAAATATCGTACTTGGTCTGTTTCTGTTATTTTGTTAAATTAAATTTAATTCTGCGTTTAATTGTGTTTTTTTTTTGTGCTAATTTGTACATCATGTGTCAATAGTGAATGATTCTTTAATAAAATAACGATCACTAGTTAAATTAAGTTTTAAAGTGGTTTTGCGAAATTTTTCAGGGTGGCCGGTTTTTTTTGCCGGTCAGTGTAGATGTTGAATGAATTAATACTGTGATCGTTTTGTGTTTTGTTATATTTTTTTCATTACAATGTGTTGTTAGTTTGCTCTTGTCTTAAATTTATTAACACGCAAGTCAAAATATTTGATCTGCTGTACCAGTGCAATAGTCACGTAAGTCAAAATTTCTTGTTTTCTATAACGAGTAGAAGGTTCTACTCTAAAGGAATAAAAACACGATTAATAATAGATTGACAATACGACTATAATGTACTTCGAAGCCTTTCGTATTTAATATACTAATTATATATAAAAATTTGGGAATTTGAAATCATCATTACTCAAAACACGCTGGTTTTGAGTTACGTGAGTATTGCTCTCACAGTGCGATATTTTATAATTTAACAAAGTGGATATACTTTTAATACTCCCTACGTCCAGCCACTTGAACGTGTTACCATCATCAATAACCAACCGACGAAACAAATAAATAATATTTTCACTATATGTAGGGCAAAAGGTCTACGACTTGATCATACAGTTTAAATCGTTAAATAATAACCTTTATGTGACAACTGTTGCGTGGATATTTTTGCATTTATACAGTAACGACGTCAAGGCATACATACAAAATGATACGTTTTATTTTTATACAGCAACTTTCCTCTTGATTTAATACAATTAATGGTTTTTAACACGTTTTCCGTCAACAATTATTGTAACATGTTGGTAATTTCATTTTTATACACTTAATTAAAAAAAATATGACGTGACATCATCACCACAGTATTGAATATAAGCAATTTGATTAGTAGGAAACAAGGTTTTTAATTTCTCTAGCGCCTTGCGTCTTGTCTTTAAAATATTCTGCCTTTGATGCATTTCTTTAACACCGATCTGCATACGCAGTATATCTTACTTTTTTTGTTCGTCAACTATTGCAGAAAGATAAACATTTCGACTTTCGATTTCTTGTAATTGCAACTTCAACTCCCCTAATTCTTTCTCCAAAAGTTCCACTTGTAGAGGAGTAATGTTGATTTGTTTCGGGCTGGAGTACACCTAATGAACGCATTAAACGGGTCTATACAAGTATACTACCATAAAGAGTGCTTTGATAATTTTAGAGTTGCTACTGTTGGATTTCGATTTCCACACAACACTCGTGTGAAGCGAGGACATTTTCAACATAGTAAATACGAGGTACCAGCAAGTCCAAAATTATCTTACAATTAACAGCTGCAATTCTTGATTTTTCTGTAACTGTGCTTGTCAAAATAATATAAAAATTGTATGTTTTTAAGTAGACCAGTTTAAAACAATTCTAATATTTTTATTTACCTTGTGTTTCGTGTCATCTTCCGGTGATGAAGGAGAACTAGGGAGAGTACCTTTAACGAATACTAACTGGAACTGTAATTCTGTAAAAACTGTATTTAACAAGGGAAATTCGGAAGTGGTAAAATCGTTACCTCTATTTCGATTTCGAAGACTTTCGATCTCGTTATGAAGACCTGTTAACATGAGCTGATGTTGTTCTTGCAGAAATCGAATATTTTGTTCCAGCTGAGCCACTCTTGCACTATCTGGACCTTTCGGTCGTTCGGGGCTAGTTGACGGTATATCTTGTGATCTGGAAACTGTTACCAGTTCACCATTTACTCCACCAGTTTTCGATTTATTCACCTAAACAAAAAATTAAGTAAATCCCTTGAAAAGAAATGTTTTAGTCATGTGTATTAACATATAAAGAGTAATGAAAAAGTTTTCTGATTAGAGTTGGCAAATATTTCCACGGCCAACTCTAATCTGAAAACTTTTCGATCACCCGTTATAATATTAATAGCTTTAAACCAGTGTTCGAAAGCCAAAATATGAAAGTTCTTTCAAAAACGTAATATTGTTATAATATAGACATTAATTAAGTTCTACAAGAAATTGATCTTTCTTTTTAAAATTTTCTTGGAGGTCCGTCATTGTGATCAGTAAGTCAGCAATTTCGCGTAATTCCTTTAAACTGTTTTTATAGCCTATTTGATGGTTTGTTAAATTAATTATAAAATCACTTACAACTTTGTTGATAGAACACACGTTCATTTCGTAGTTGACATCCTCACAATATATTTATTTTGACAACTTTTATTTAATTAAGTGTTGATATAAATACTGTTCGCGGAAAAAATTAAGAGACACTTTTTGCAAGGTTAATTTTTATTTCACAATTTCGGAATTTCCATTTCCTTTTTCATAACAGTTTTGTTTCCGAAATTTTGACAATTTATTTTAGCAAAAATTATTCATAACTGTTTTAACAAGCACTGAATTGTACATTTTACCAAATTCGATAAAACGTATGTAGTTCTGATAAAAAAAATAATTAGGTAACAAAAACGGCCAATTTTTCCATCATTAATGCTTTATCAAGGTTGCAGCGTACTGTTTTATGTGGAAATACATAACATTAATCAGAATAGCCTCATAAAACAATTTATATCAGTAACTGATTACTATTTTTTCCCTAGGAGCAATTGTTGTTAATAAAAAAATGGGAAAATGTTCGTAATTAAGTTTCATTTTACTTTTATTTATAAAAGTCAATTTTCCAAAGTCATTTTTACTTTCGGTAACTAAAACAAACCTGCAAAAAAACTTGATTTGTTTTCGAAAAAATCTAATGAGATGTTAATGAAACAGTCTACAGTATGTGATGAATGTCTTGTTCACTTTGAAACTGATGACGAACTTACAAATAACATTGCTTGGTAATTTTTTAATGTTCTTTTCAAAACTAGTACAAGACATGCTCTTGAGTATTAATTAGCAGTTATGCCACCGTCAATCCCGAACCATTTATTATAGGTACGTTATACAAAAATAGATATTTTTAAAACATATTTTTGTTTATTCTTTTGCATAAATACACTCAACAATTTTATTTTTGTAGTTTTTCCCAATAATACGAAGTTACTTAAGTAGGAGAAGGTGCCACATGTGTATATTCAAATTATAAAAAATTATTCCCCACTTAATTAGGACCATAATATGCAACTATATATTAAGCAATAAAATAAATTGACTAATTCATTTTTTTTTGAGTCACTCTGTAAAAGCAATTCTAAAAATATGAATGCAATGATAAATCATGAGTATAGACTCATCACATTTTGTACATTTTCGGTATGATTTATTCGGCAAACGTTTGAGAAGACATATCACTTTTTTGAGAGGAATAAACAGGTTGATTAAAAAGTGATGATCCTTGCGATAACTTTAAAACGACTGGAAGGTTTCAAAGCATTCGGTTTCATACTCCAGGGGTCATATGAGTCATGACACATCGAAAAAATATGAAAGTAGCTAGTCACCCAACGGACTCGATTACAATACCTTAGTCTTAGCTTACAAAGTAAAAAGTCTGTAACTATAACACATCCATGGATAAGTATACAAAACAAATTATTGTTTTCTTAAATTTGTACAAAAATGTGTCAGAATCTTAGCTCCCGTGTTGCAGAAGTTGAACAGTGGTTTATTTTGAAGTTACATTATGGCGAGGGCCAAATAATGAAATTATTAAATCAAAAATTAACAATGCTGAGATATTTAAAAATTATTATTTTCAACAGTCCCTTCACGATCATCACCAATAGTAGACGCTCCTCGATGTGAAGTTTTTTCTGAATGATGTACGAATTTAGAATGCATTATAGTTAGTATGAGCGTTAATTTAATGAATACTAAAAAATTTGAAATCGCCATGAAAAACTCTTCTGTCTATTTGTCACTTTTGGATCAGAAAAAATGGGAGAGTGCTTATCACAACTATCATATTTCTATGGACGCCACATTTTAACACTTTAATAAAAGTGTGGTTATTAACCGTTATTAGTAAAATAACACAAATTTGTTATAGGGATTTCTTGATTGTGTCTGAAGTAAACACCTGTCGTCGCTTCCTGTACACAAAATAATGATGTTCCTAATCTTATGTATACATATGCAACCCAACTTACACTAGGAAAATATAAAAGCGTTGATTTTAAATGTCGAATGATTCAGGATGGAAAAATGATCATGCAACAACATTCTGCCAGTTGAACGAGGCACATAAATAACAAACAATATTGAAAAACTTAAAGAGATTTCAAAGACGGCAACATATGTGCATAAGTGTGCAGCAAAAGGTCAATCAACCTATGAATTATTGATCGATCTAAAACCCTACAATAGATTAACAGTTTATGCAAAATGGTTTCAATGCAAAAAATATGTTCGCATAAAGGAAAATGGGGGGGACGTGATTATTCACAGGAAATAGTGTTATGTAAAAACTCATCATAGCGGCACCAGTAATACAAGTACTTACTTGTCCAAACGGTGTGACTGGTATTTTCACCATTATTTTCGATGCCATAGTAGCTTTCGTTTCGTTATTAATTTCGTACGTTTCGTTTCGTCTTAGAGGACAAGAGTAGTAACACCGGCGCTGTGGATCCAATGAATCACCGACCAAAATATTGTTCTCACAATAAATACGACGTCATTCCCACAATCGTACTAACAGCAAGAATATAAGTGCGACAAAAGCAGATACTTTATTAGAAGCTCAGCACGGAACTGTACTACGTCGTATGCCGTAGTATTTAACAAATGTTTAAAATTAACAAAGCGGCGTCGCGTATTTACCACAGTTGAATCACACCTTTATGAGTATTGATTATTCGTTTTGTGTCATGCTCAAAGGCTCTGTTTGACGGAGAGTAAAGAGAAATACGTGAAGAAAGTTATCAAACCAAGATCTACATGGGGGATTATTGGTAGCACATGCAAATGCATTTAAGCATTAATGTATAACAAATATGTATGCGCATAAAATTAATCTTTCAAAAACATATAATCAATGGTTTTTTAAATATTTTACAAAGTACAAAAAGAGGTATTAGGTTAGAAATGAGAACTTTAGTGTTTGGTTTTGGGGTTTCTGGTTCAGTTCTGCCGTTAAATAAAAAAGGTACTTACCAGTACTTTTCCTATAAGTTCTGTTGCCTTTTCAGGAAGAGGTGGTGAGAGTGGAGGTAAAATTATTGTGTTCAGTGGCACTCTCCGACTATTTTCCAAAATTGTATTTCTGTGGATCCCTACATGCCTCATAATTATTGTCGAAAAAACTAAAATATACGCATACATATTTCGTAAAAAGCTTTAAATGAATTATTGCGGTTACCTTGCTTTGTTTGTAATCTAAATTACTAAATTATTGATAAAAATCATCTAATTTTTGAAAGGAGCATAGTTGTCAAACTATACAAATATTTGGGGATTTTTGCTGTGTTGAAGTGCACTGGTCTCTTATCTGTATTTAATTAACCAGAACACATATATCGCTATCTTTCTTAACGGCCACCAAAATTAATATTGGCCACCCTGCGTTGTTATGGTAACAGTCAGCTGGTATGACAACAATCCCTAGTTACGAATGTGCCAGAAAATGACAAACTAATTTTTATTTTTTTATATAAGTGATTATAATCTTTTATCGATTTTATAACTTACGTTGATTTTCAGCAGATAATGAATGAAATTCCGGTAAGGAATTCTTTTTTCTTTATGTAAAATATAGCTTTGATATTTTCAGGAATTGAAGGACGATTTAGATTTTTTAAAAAAATTCGACCCTCACGGTAAGGTTTGGAAGGAATTTGATGTGCTAGCCACACAGTTGAAAGAAAAAGTACGTACTAATTTTCTCTTGCATCCTAAAAGGTTAAGCTCTGACTCCGAATGTTCAACAAATGTGAATACGCCAAGAAAATTTCTCAGCGGGACTAATTTAAATAAATTAGGATTACTCGAACTTAATAACGTAAGTTGCCTTCAAAAAATAATGTAAATAGTGATACATCAGTTTAGAATGTTCACAAACCTCTTAATGACCGCACAACTTATACGTGTAAGACAATGGATACTGAAAAGCCTGAAAAGTGTAGCAATGAAACAGAAATAGATGATAAAGTGGAGCTTAAAACATCCACAAAGGTGGTAATAGCCAAGAAATCATCTAAAACGGTGAATTTTAATCAGTTGGAGACTTTTAACAAAAAATTTAAAACTCTTGTGGAAAGATCTTTAAAATTTCTCACCAACATTCGGTTTGTACACAAACGTGAATGAATTGCTTTTGTACATTAATGCTTTTACAGGATGATGATAGAGGAAGGAATTGCACCCCCAGATGGTGAGGAGGATTATTTTCGGAGAACGAGACGTCTGCAAGAATTTTCGGCCCGGTTTTCGCGAATTTACCTTTATCCTTTATTACGTCAAGTGAGAACTTACCTATTCACATATTATTATTGAATTGCGTTAAATTTTAGATGGATGAATTGAGTTTACCAGAAAAATTAGGAGCAAGTGTTGTTAATCAAAAGTTCCTCTATGCGCAACAAATCATTTTACAAGGTTTACAAGCATATTATTCTCATCTGCCCAGTTCTGTAGGTAAATGTGGTTCAGATAAACTTAAATCGCTTTTAGACCAAATTATGTATCTGTGTCATTTATATGAATTGTTGAAGAAAGATTCGAATCCTGAAAATTGGGAATTTGTAAATGTAACTGTGTCTTATATTTATAAATACATTGCTAATATTGTTTATTTGAAGGCAATGCGTTGTCATGTTGAATTATTATTAGAAACAATAACAACATTTGATTTAAAATTAGCGGCCAAAAACACTAACGTGCAAACTGAAGTTAAGAAAAAAGGAAGTAGACTCATTCGGCCTAATAAGTCGTCACATTTTAATAAAAATAAATCAAAATTGTCTATGTATATAACAAATTCTGCTTTCAAGAAAGAATTAGAGATTAGAAAAGGTCTAGATGCTTTAAAAAACAAAAAGTAATTCCTATTCTGATTTATAATATTTCATTCAATTTTAGAATTGTAGGTGTATTGTTAAATCAAGATATAGAACGGCGGGTTTTAAACATAGACCACCACTCGAAAAACAAGTAGCTACTAATGCTCCAAACAAAATTAAGTTATTTAATAAAAGTACTTCTGGGTTATTAAAAAATTCTTCAAGGGAGATGCCGATTAGAGAAGACGATATCAAAACTATGGTTGAAATAGATTCGGACTTTGCAGCGCCACCAAATACAAGAGAGGTAAATATTAATATGTAATCTAGTACCTATACGTAGGCCTTCGTTTTTATAGACACTTAATTTCACACACTTCTGATATTTTGCACACAGTTATACTTGTAAATTAATATTATTGACCGAATTAAAAACGCAAAAGTTGCCCTTGGGAAAAGAATAGTACAATCTTTGTTTCACTATACGATCTCGCATAAAAGCAATCATATTGGCCAAACAGGTGACATCTATGACGATTGGACTACGAATGTCAGTACCTACTTTACAAGTGAAATACTTATGTTGAGATTGTAACTCACCATTAATAAATTAATATGAAAAATTGGTCGAAGGTTGTTTCGACAGAACTTCCCTCGCTCCTGAAATACAATGATATTTTTTTTGAGTCACCCTGTATACGCAAATCCAAAAAATATTAATGGAATGATAAATCACAACTACAGACGCATCATATTTTGTACATTTTAGATAGGATTTATTCAGCAAAATTTTGGGGTGACGTCATCAATTTTTTAGGGGGGATAAGCAAATATATTTTGACTAAAAATTTATTATGCACTTTAGAACCTTAAAACATCTGCAAGATTTCAAAGCGTTCGGTTTAGCAGATTCAAAATTAAATTGGAAAATGTTGTTTTATAATTTTGATTTTTTTCCAAAAATCTGGACGTTTCGGGTAAAAACTCTATTCGGAGTCATAAACTACATGTTTAGGATTATGTTATTTTACACAATTTAAAACCCATTTGATATGTACAATTTTGAAGTGACGTCATCGCATCAGTGGTGGGGATGATTAGATAAATTTTGGTTAGCGTTTTACCATCTACATGATATTCCTAATATAAATACAAAATTTTACAACAATCGGTCCAGTACTTTCGAAGATTATCTGTCTGTCTAATAAAAATCCGGGACGGCAGACAGACGGACAGACGGAAACGGAAGACCTATTTCTTCGTCTTCTAGGGGTCATGAAAGATCGAGAAAATGTAAAAGTAGAGAGTCGGCCTACGGACTCGATTATAATACTTCCTTTGCTTACGCTCGGGAAGTAATAACACAAAAAAGTATATTGGAAGTAATTGACATAATTAATATATTTCCGTGTGTTTTGTGGTTAAACATGCTGTAATGCTAAAAAAACTCTAGCATAATTGTCAAGGTGCGTTAATTTCATTAACTGAAATGTTTAAACATGTATTGATATCCATGTAAAAATACGTTTTAAAGTATCAAATTCTCATTACAACAGTGGCTGTCACATATTTTACTTTTATTAACCTCCGATGTAAAAAGAGGGGTGTTATAATTTATAATAACTTTGAAATCTTTGTCAGTGCCTTTTTTTTGTTTCAAAGTTGGTTTAATCGGGATTCATTTCAAGTTCAGCTTATAATCATAACACAGTTGGTGTAGGAACGAGCTGACTCCGCGAAGCTGGGGATAGCGTGTTGACCGTTGGAGCGAATCTTAACCAATTTCAGACTTTGTAAGGGCTCATTTTTATTGTGCCGGGGGCCGGGATTTTTTCAGTACTAATACTTTTTCCGTACAAAAGTTGATCTGTTAATAGCGAACTTGCGACTTCAGAATGTTTTGATCTTTTTGATGCAATATTTGGTGCGATAAAATATCCTTTAAAGTTCTGAAGTTCATATTGCAGTGACCCCGTGTAGTTTGGTTAATAAAGACGCCGACTTTCTGGGAATGTTAAGGCGACTCACTGAAAAAGTGTGGATTTTCTGAAGTCCATATTCTTGTGTTTTGTGACTTTATATAGCTACCAAGACGAAGGTATGTTTCATCACTGCAAAAAGTTTTTTCGCGATAGTCATCCGGATCTAGAGTATTTAGAAACATTGACAGTATTGAATTCTTTGAGGGAAATGAGTTGGACGTAATTCACATACAGATGTGAGACGATAGCTAAAAAAATGAAGATATTTTCTTAGAATCGTGTTATAGGTAGAAATAGACCAACCAAGTTGTGATAAATGACCGATAGAAGTAAGTACCCAGGGCTTCTCCCATTACTTCACTCGCTTCTTCAATAACTTCTGGAGTTCGCTTCTTTGGATGGCCGCTTCCAATTTTTGTAAAGCAGATCCATTTTCTTGGATTTTTTTTTAAATAGACTTGTAAAATTTCAAAGTCAGCGAATTGTTCTAGAAACACTTCCATGCACGATCCAATTGAAATTTGCCAAGTTCTATCTACTTTTATACCTTTTCGATAGTAAGAGATTACCATGAATACTTTGTGTTGTCCAGGAAAAGCTTTGGCGAAAATGTAAACAGCAAAACTTACACACTAGTTCTGAAAAGAACAGATTTTTATCACACAAACAAAGCAAAAGATGAATAACAATAAACTGCGAAAAATCGATATGTAAGTCTAGGAAATGCTAAGTCAAATGTCAATTATGTGAGAACCCGACTACATTTAAAATAGTAATGATGAAACCATCCACGTTGTTATAAATAAACGCAAATAATAATTTAACAATATACTTTTGATTATATAATACTTGGGTACGTATGTATTTAATAAAGAATTAGACGATTTTTGTCATGGCTAAAGGATTATACTTATTTACTGTTTTTGTTAAACAGTAGCAGCAGTGGTGACATCAATTTTGATTTTAATTTTAATTTTACACAATGGTGGAGGCGCCGGGTAACAAAATTTTTAATATCATGTTTGTGAGTATAATTTTAGTAAATAAATCGTGTTTTTTCCATTTTAATATTTTATAGCTATTGCACAGGGAAAAAAGTTGAAAGTATTCAGTATTTGTTCATGCGTTTTGCAACAATTATTTGTTATCTGTAATCAGTGACTGTATGTATATATACTTAGACATTCTTGAACTTTTGGCCCTTTGTGACTTTATTGGTGAACATCAATAATTTTTATAACCTAATCAGTGTTCATTTCGAACTAAACAGGAGTACATTTTATGTGAAAATAAGGTGTGCGAACTTAAAATCGGGTCTATAATTAATTTCCACATTTTTTCTATAAAGAAACAAGTTGCATAGTGCTATATTAAATATGACTTTTAGATTGTGATGATGATAATTTATTTTTAAGCAAAACTGTCATATTAGCAATGGCCCCACTAAAAGAACATAAAAAAACAAAATTAATAACATTAGTGTATGACAGGCATTCAAAAATTACTGCATATTTGGCGGTTAAGGGATTAAAAAATTATGTAATTGGGAAAACATTGTATAGAGTTTGGGAAACATTGGATAGAGGTGGTGGAATAGAAAGGATGTATAAGGTAAAAAATAGAAGTCGATTAATAAATCACAGGTATAGCATGTTAAATTGCACATTTTAAAAAATTACCTAGGAAAATTAAGAGATAATGGCATCTGATTTTGGTGGTGATGGGAGACAAATTTTTATCTCTGTTTTTTCATCTATACGTTATTCTTAAAGTAAGTATAAAATTTCATAATCTGCCTGATACTTTAAATATTACTTGCCTGATAAGGTCGCCAACAGACGACAGACAGGCGGAAACGGCAGATCTATGTTTTCATATTCTGGTAGCTATCTTTAGGATACTAAGAAAGTATTCGTCAAATGATAACCCTGTTACAATACTTTATTAAAATCGATGAAAAAATTATTTTGATTTGTTTTTTATTTGTTAGAAAAATTGTTAACATAGCTTCGTGCATTTTGCTACCATTGTTATTAAATTTGCCTTTGACAAGTACTATATTTTAAATTGCAGAAACTTTTTGAGGACATAACATAAGTAATATAGTTCATTCGTAAATGATTTTTAGTTAAATAACGAGAACATCCATCGATAACTAATATTTTAAATGTAGGTATTTAACGGAAATATATGCAAGAAAGATTGTTATTTCTTTTTGTTACCAACAATGAAGTGTTCATATATACGGCGGGCATTCCTCAAGGATGACATTTGAACCTTTCTCCGTCGTGTTATTTGTCACTGAAAAAGTATATATTTTCTGTTAGGCTATTTTTTGTACATAATTGTAGTTATTTGTGGAGGTTGAATTCTCATTAGATTGGAATTTGCAATCTGAGTTAATGATTAATAGTAATAATAGCTGTCGTATAGATCCTGTTGTAGATAAAACGAACATAATGTTATTTTGTAAAACAAAGTGCGTCTTGTTGAAGAAACCGATGTGTTCTCATTTTTAAATGAAATATCTGTCTATAGTAATCGGTTCTGCGGTTGAACACTTTTGTCATCATCCGCTGAGATTATTAACAGTAGAGAAAAATATATTCGTTCCATTCGTTTCAAGGGCACCAACACTTTGTTACACTTTACTACTGGACGAATTTATTACTGCTTCTTTTAGTTATAAAGTGCTTTGTGCTTCATAAATTCTGGATAATTTTAGAGCAGTTTTCACTGTTTATTTCTTTTTATACAATTCGCAACACATAATTATTACATGTTAGCTTATACAAAACTGATTTGACATACACTTTGTAAAACTTTTATGACTTAAGCGGCTTAAGCCAAACCACCCTTATATCCGAACCGCAAGGATTATTACTGTTCATTGTTGCCATAATGGAGCTGTAAAGTTTTACTAGGTATATGTGAACTGTATAAGTTATACAATAGTCAGTTTGACTTATAGCGGTGCTTTGGCTTAAACCGCTTAAGTCATAAAAGTTTTACAAGGTGTATGTCAAGTGAGTTTTATATATACGCTATGTTATATGGTTTCAATGAGTACCTTAATCTATGTAAACTTCACACTAATTCTATTAATCATTTAGTTAATATTTTTATTGATTGATCATTTATTTAACTTTTTGTAAATGTAAAGTGTTATTGCTACGTATAAAACTGTGATAGAAATAAAAGTACTAATTGATTTAAAATATTTAGGTAGGATGTAATTTTTAGCTTCTTGTGTTTGAAAATTATTTTTACCATTATTGAAATTAAAAGACTGGTTTTATGAAAAAATGTAAGCAGAAGTTACGGCGACCGGATATGACTACCAAAAGGTCCCTCCCTATATTTGTAAAGCAGTCATATATATGTACAATCCATTAACACAGACGACATTTTTGGAATCACTGACTGCAAACTATTGAAATAAGGAAATAAATACATCTGTGTTGTTTTATTGTGCTGAAATCTCGGTATGCATATGTTATTGTTAACGGCATTATCACAATTGCGTCGCTACAGCGACATAAATATTTGGATAGCGTAGTTAGCAGGAAATTACCCTTGTGGCGTTTTTTCCTTATTATGGTATATTCAGTTGTAATCGAAGTTTCTAAGTAGTTTTTCTCTTGTTATGGACTTAATGATAGGTTTTTGCTAAGCCTGCGTAGATGCATCTATGTTCTGTTTATTTATTTATTTTTAGACAATACAACAAAAACTTCTTTTTCAAAACACATTAAACTTTATTTTTGAATTTTGAATATACTCGATAAAGTGACTGTATCTAACATTTCCACAACTTGGTTATAGTTCTAATTATGTTTATCTCGACATCATGCTTTGCCATTTATTTTTGTTAAAATATCTTATTTGATTAAGTTCAACATTTGATTAAATTCATATACGCGTCAAAGTAAAACTTTAAAGAATGTCTTACTTAGTGACGTCGAAGAATTAAAGAAAAGTGAGATTTGAAAAATTGTTTTACATACTTGTTAAAGTTTTAAAAAAATTCGTGTCGTCTTGCTTAGAACAGTGTCGCTATTTTTGGTTTTGATTTGGCTCTGTTTTACATGATTTAAGTTTGATTCCTTAAAAAAATATAATATAATGTAATTAATGTATATGCAATCAATAACATCAATGACACTATGGGTAACGTGACATGGTTTTTGGTACCCTGTACTACATATTACGTAGTTTTCAATAAATTTAGCAAATATTGTTTCTGTAAACAATAATAGTAATGTTTTAATCGTAGCTGCATCGCTAAGTGACCTGCAGTTTCTGAGAGACAAAAAGAACATGCCAAAGTTTTGACCAAAGTACTTTTTACTTTACTACGGTACGTGCCGATGTGATAATATAATTGTAGATTGTTTAATACATTAGTACTTTTTAATCAATTTAATAGCAAAGCCATAACATTATTTACTAAAAGAGAACAAAAAGCCATGTATAATATGAATACAGTTGTGTAAATATCGGTGTGTTGATTGCAGAAGCGTGGTGTCTTGATATTTGTATACATATATGTATTTAACATTTAACACATTGAGGTTTGCCCCCTTCGGTGCGGAATGATTGATCCTTCATGATGGGCTTGCCACATTTCTGTAACATCATTCATTCAATATATTACTCTTCATGTGATAAATAACTTACAGAGCATTTGAAGCACAATTGGTGCCATTTAGCGTCCAAAGCGATGACAGCTTGGGTGACGATAGGCTTACCACAGGCCTTGCATTTGTCTGCGTACTTCTCAGTATAGCACTTTTGGCAATACGGAGCACTTTCAATTTCCATGAATTTGGTACCAATCAGCTTTGTCTTGCAGCCTGCACAGACGAAGTGATCCTCATGCCAGTCGGCTCCCATAGCGGTAACGACTTTCTAAAATTTTGTAAAGTTATGTATTGCACATATTTCACTCGTTAGTGATAACACTCACATCTTTGATTGGCTGGCCACAAGCTTTACATTTTTGCAAGAATTTATTAGCATAGCAGTCATTGCAATAAGGCTCATTGTCTTTTTGCTGGAATTTCGACTCTGTGATTGGCCTTTTGCATTCAAAGCAGATAAAATGGTCCGAGTGGTAGAACTTATCAAGGGCTATTAGTACCTAAATTGGGGTAAATATTTTGTTAATTTATTAGTAATTGGGTTGGACTTAGGGATTCTATATTAAGAAGCGCAATCACACTTAAAATAATTTGTTCCGCCATAGCAATAATTGTTTTTCATTGATGATTTAGGACTAAATAGAAACATTTATCGTTCGTTGATATTTCTCTGAGATCACTGCTATTTCTGACATGGATTCTTATCAGTGTTCTTAAGATTAATTTTGTTTTTAATGGTTGTATAAAACTTTATTTGAAGAACCACATTGCTATGGTATAAAGTCCTATGTCATGCACAAATAAATTTAAGATGTAACTTACCCCACCCTCGATGTTCTGCTTGCAGGTAGCACAAACTTTTGGTGGTGCCTATAAATAAAATAAAAATTATATAAATTACATGCGGATAAATTAATTGCAATAAATTTCATTAGTGACATACCGTAGCCATAACAGGCAACCTGAAAGTATCTCAACGACACACCCTCAGAAAAATATAAAAAGTAATAGAAATGACATGTGTCAGAAGACTGGCTAATGGATAATAAAATTTTCACGTCTATGGAAACGGGTCAAAACCCACTTAGTTCCTGTTTTATCGATCGTTTTCTATTTTCAGAATCACAATCACGAAAACATTGCTTCAGACACACAGCAACTGGTACAAGATAATGATCGAAAGCTCAACGATGGGTTGGAGGATGAGAACGTGGACAAAGCCTTAGATGTCTTGCGGAAGTTTTTTGGAAATTCCCCGAAAAACATTCAGGCAGACTTTTTAGAAAAAATCGCTAGCGAGGTTGATAAAAGAAAAGAGGGAAGAGGAAATAATCAGAAGCACAGCGATCAGCCTAAGAAAAAGTTAAAAGAGTACGTAGTTATCATAACTTTACGTTTTCGAAAGTATCCTAAAATACCATGTAAGTGTTAAAAGCGGGATTTTATTTATTTATCACAGGTGACATTTATGATAAACAGGCAAAAGTTTCACGTTTCTTTTGTGCAACCGCTTTGAACTTTTTTGATCGCAGGATATTATTATCTCGGCGCGATCCTAATAGCTTTCATAACGAGCAAATGGAAATTTAAAATATTGCTGGCAAGGGATTCGAATTTACAGACTCGTTGAAAAGAAGACATTAAGTTGGTGCTAAAATGCACGAAAACTTAATAAAAATGTCTGCTATGAAAAGCAGTATAAAAAAAGTTTTTTACTACCAGTGAATTTTTTTACATGAACACTCGCCAAAAATTATGTCATTCCACGAATTTAAGGCAACGAACGTTTAATGTACAAATGTATTTTTTATCGATTACGTTTCGGTTAAGTTAATTGAAATTTACTTTCATCACGCGTGCAACAAATTAAACACGCACTAGCTTAAAATTTGCAGGTTGCCAGCTCATCATTTTTTTTTTCGTTATAAGCGCCAAAATTGTTACGCTCTGTGAGTAACGTTTGTTCATTAGTGTAACTTTTTTCACAAAAATAACAAATCTCAGGCACTAAAATTGTACTTTTTAAAAATAAAACAAAATACGTGGGTGGTTCCGACTCATTGTAGTATGGACTTGTCATCAACTAATCTATAAGTTAAAAATTTTAGAAAAGGTGATAAAATGTTGACCTAGAACTTATATTCGTATGAGGAGGTTCACAATAAAAAAAAAACTGTGTTAAAAATAGCAGCACAGGGTGTATTATATGTAATTTGTAGAATTTTTATACAGGTTCATAGTTATTAAATGCATTATCTAAGAGTATACATGAGTATGTAGTCGACGTGGTATTTATTTTTTGATTAAGTAATGACACATAGTTAATATAGTACGAAATCTTAGATAACGGCAATAATATTTGCGGAATGAAGTGTTTTAATAAAACTGGTATTTGTGAAATACGCCTAACGCTTGCTCCACCTTTTAACTTTTTTATTTATAAAGATAAATTCTAGAGATATGGAACATACTCCTTATTAGAGAATAGTCCACTTTGTACCTCATGTACTTTTAAAATGTGTTTTTTTTATAAAAGTTTTTCACGAAATTGTTGTATTATTTAATTTTACTGTATGCAAGAAATTCCAGAAAAAATCGTGTAGGTTTCTTGAAACAGACCACGAAAAGTTACATCCGTTTTGATTTTTTGGAAAATGATTTATACTATGCGTGGCCGTAAAGACTGTATTCATTTTTAACACAACTAAGATTTAATTGCCACTGCAAATGAGGTGCAGAATATTATAACCAGTCAAATATTAAATTTAATTAACAAAACATGACTGGTACAATTTAGACGTGGTTTTGTGTGAGAATGTTTTGTATATCATATATGTTACTTTCGTGAATGAAGTGGGAATTAATAAATACTACCCACAATAATAAAAACACCTTTATATTTCTGCAGCAACACCAAAGCCTTAGGATTAATTTCATTTGTAAGAGTTTTAAAAATAGTCAGTCGAATAAAGCTATCTACATTTAATTTTTAACTAGTAGCCTCTTAAGTAATAAAGATTCTGTTGAATCTAAAAAGAGGTTACCACGTGTTCTAGATTTATTAGTATTATTTAACCGTTATTGGTCTGGGGGTGCAAAAAGTGTAATATGTTAATTATTTCTCATGGCCGTACGTATCTTAAAACATAAAGTAAAACATTTCGTATTGTTTTTCAATTAACCCAGGAATACTACATAATATTTTTACGTAAATAATAATTTATCATTGTTCTATACTTCTGCTCTTTATAAATAAAAAAATGTTATCGAGATGGAGGGGTGAAACACATTGCATAAGTATCTGTTTTTATTGTGGTGAATTTATACAGGAAAAATAAACTGAAACGAATTTAAATGTTTACGTCAGTTTGGAAAATATGGAGCTATAATTGTTTCTAATAAAATCTTATATGTTTAATTGTAAAAAATTTAAATGTGTCCATCTTCCTTAACTTTAGAATTACTTATAGAATTCTAGTATCAATAAATTAAGTAACTATTTAGTTTTCTATACTATGAAAGGTTAAACTTGTAAAAATAAGAATTAGTGTCACATCAACTTCAGTAGTTTCAGGTAGAATAAAAACTGAAGTTTATTAATTTTTAAAAATTTTTATCTAGTATTTTCCTACACTTCATATTTAAGATCAAAATTCATAACTAACCTCGTAACGCACCATATTTCGGCCTAATAAAACAAATGCCTTATTTCTTATCTGAACTATATTTTTTTATTATTTAATGAACCGTAGTTAGATTACTGCTCGATTATTGCAAACGCTGTCGGCGCAAAACAAATAACATTGTGGACAGTGTGGTCGTTGTTCAAAATGGGTGATAAATCACTGCAGTTAATGTTGATGTTATATTTTCTTATAACAGAAATAAGGTTTTCGGTAGTAACAGGTAAATTATGTGTGCTATTTTTAGTAGTTTTTATTGGGGAAAAGGCGCAATATTAATCTCTGTCGCATATAATTTTACATTATGAAACCTACAATTACTTAGGTACAAATTCCCACACATAGTGCGTTTACATGTAATTATTATTAAATGCACAAAATTTTTATTATGTAATATTTTATGAAGCCCATTCTGGCATTCAATACCTACTATTTTCGCATTTGACAATAATAAATAACTTCTTGTGATATTGCAGAAAAGTTTAATGGGTAGCAGAAACAATTTATTTTCTTAAAAAATAAATGTTATGACTGTCTAACTCCTGCATTGTAATATAATAAGCGGGTTTAGAAACACATTATAACAAATAAGTATTTTTTCTTCCAGAATCGACTTGATCACAACAATGGAATAACACTCTTCACACACCAAACTTGACTCAAAATAACGAGGCGTAATGCTAATTGAGTTAGCGTTATTAAGATGTTTAAAAACAGAATGAAAAAAAGTGATTTTGTTAGTAAATGCATCTAAATTTTGCACCAAGTTTGGTATTTCTTTGTCGAAATTTTTCTTCGGTGGATATGTCGTATTATAATTTTGTATCTCATGTGTGTTACAATTGTAAATCATATGAAAAGATACAACCCACTACATGTAGGGCGTGCCAACGAAAGAATCTGATGATTAATGGCTTCATAATAATGATGCAATTTTACAGTTTTTAAAAATAGTTTTGTGAATTTTCTAAAACATCGACTTTTCTCAGAGAATTTTATCACTGAATACATAGTCGTTCTTATCGTAATATAACTTCGATCAAGATTGTGGTAATATATTTTGTTAAATAATATTTGCCACCTGTTTTCAACACCCGATGTTTACATTTATGAGTCTAATTTAAGAATCTAAAAAATGTGTAACGTGTCTCCTAAAATGGTGGTAAACAAGGTGACTGTTCGCAAAATAGTTCCTCATTTTATCTTGTTGCATATTGTAACACATTAATAAGAATATTTTACGCTATGTCCAAACAACTATAATTAACCGAAAAGTGGGCGTATACTGGATCATCCCAATGCAACGCGTTCCCTATCCAGTTGCACTTTTAAATAAATTTTAGCTAATTTTCAAACAAAAAAACATTAAATCAGTTTAAATTAGCCGGCGTTGCCAAGAGTGAATTTATTACAACAACAAATTTCGGATTAAATTATTCGTAAATTTCTTTGCTTAAAAAAACATACCATTATTGCTGATTGAAGGCGCACTCAGATTTTGATTGTTGCACGTCGTAAACGCAAAGACGGACTAACACTAAATCTAATACAACGTAGGAGGATTCTGTCGTTGTTTTCCGAAATTCGCTGGACCCGATGCGTTTATTTTGGTACGGTTATAATAAAACGCCTTTAGAACAGAACCGAACCCCAGGTTTGCGTTTGGCCAGAGATTTTTCTCCAGTGAACTAAACGTATCGAGTCCGGATCTGCTGGTTTAAAATTAATACTACGATTTGTTTGGGAGAACTAATTTTAATTTTATGTTTCAGAAATTTTCCTAAAATTATGTACAGTTGTAGTGGTACTCACCGTTTCGCTCATTCTTGCGCGTTGCTAACTTAATGAAGGTTTTCAGCGCACCGATTCTCACTTATTAATACGCGATGATATCATTTTTTATCAGATTTAGAGCTGTAATAACTAATAAATAAATACTTGAGCAGGTATGCCCTACCACTAAAACCATGCTTAGAGAGTCATACGGAACAATAAAATTGTTGCGGTTAATCCGAATTTTTCTGATAAACTTTAAACGTGTTTGTTTTTGACCTTTATTCATTGTATTATTACGTGTTTATTACATTTTTTGGAAGGATTGTGTATTTTTTCAATAACAAAGTTTAACGGCAAATTACTCTTAGCGCAGTAAAACTTATTACACGCAATGCGCATATCTGCCTTGGTGTGTGGTCACACACTACTCAAACTATTGCATTCGATTGAGTCATAGTTTGCGTTTGAAATATCAACAATTGATTACCTTATTTAGAGAGGTTCATATTCGGTGTTTCTAAATATATCTCGATATGAAATTTATTCAAAGCATTTTGCACTCGAAACGCTGAAAATATTGGAAACTTGGCTCAGTGTAACGCACAGCTAAATCGAGGATGCGGCAGGAAATTATATTTTTGCTGGAACACGCAACCATCCATAAGTTTAAATGATGTGCACACATTTCATAATGCATTACGACTGTTTCTATTTAAAAGAGTAATAAGAACGAACATAGCAATGTTTTTTATTTATGATAAAAATTCCCAATTCATTTAAGTAGTTTGTTCAGCTATTATTAGGACTGAGTCATTTAAACAATTAACGCAAGTTATCCGTAAACCATTAGTATCTTAATCTGTTAACTATGTATTTCATCGTTTGTGGAAATTTTTTGTCAACGCATAAAATATTATCAGATTAAAGGTACAGGGTCACTTTGATTAGGAAAATTCGTAGCAAACTAACTTTTAGTTTTAAAGTAGTAGGATGTTGTAACGCTTTCCAGCAAAAAAGTAAAAATCGAGAGATATGTAATAAAAACCACGTGATTCCAATTCTGGATTCTAATAATATTTATCATTAATTCACAGGCATCATAAATATTAAAAGGAACTGTCTAAATAACGCGCTATAGGATACTAACCAAAAAAAAAGTAAGACCTAATATTTTTTCTAAATAATACAATCTCAAAAAAGTTGTCATAAAAAATTCTCGAAAGAATGAAATTAAGTTAGGAAAGTTAGTGAGAATAATGGAAATTATTTTAGGCATTTATATGGACAAGGAAAATTACATACATTTTTGTAAGTTAAAAATATGTATATTTCAAGGCTTTAATACAATGTAAAATAATAAAAATAGATATTAGACACAGTTAATCTTCTTTATCTAAATAAGCTTGCTTTACGTAACAAAGGTACAGATAATATCTTCAAAATTTGTAGTTAATAAAAGTTTGAAATTCTGTAATATTTTGTGAATGTTATGACTTCGAGTAATTTTTGAAAAAAAAAATGTACTTACTGATTCCTAAAAGTAAAGTTTTCACCCATCACCATGTTGAACTATTATGATTAAATAAATGAAAATTGACTAGAGTCAAATTTACAATTAAAATAATACTACAGTGTAAACTAAAAACATTATGCTGGTTCATAATGCCACATATGTTATAACGTTTTGTTTATTCTAAGAGTAGGAAGAGTAGAATTGCGTGGATATTCTTTCTTACAACTACTATTAACAATTTTTAGCTTTTAGAACATTTATGTACTAGTCAAAATAGTGTGTACTAATAAAACAGCATACCTGAAATTAGTGTTTTGAATTTATATACACTGACCGGCAAAAAAATCCGGCCACCCTGAAAAATTTCGCAAAACCACTTTAAAAATTATTAATTAAACTAGTGATCGTTATTTCATTAAAGAACTATCACTATTGACACACATGTTGTACAAATGACTAAAAAAAGTAGACATATAAACGCAGAATTAAATTTAATTTAACAAAATAAGAGAAACAGATCAAGTACGATATTTTCTTAATTAAAACAATAAAGGAGGGTGTTGTTGTAAACAGTGTTTTTCATTATTTGATTATAAGTTTAGCAGTTAATAAACGTTTTCACGCGAAAACAATGCCGTTAACTCTTACAGACGTCTTTCAAATTGTCGCTCTGTTTCTGTTATTTTGTTAAATTAAATTTAATTCTGCGTTTATTTGTCTTCTTTTTTTTGCTAATTTATACATCATGTATCAGTAGTGAATAGTTCTTTAATAAAATATTTAAGAATTTTTAAAGTTCGGTTTTGCGAAATTTTTTAGGGTGGCCGATTTTTTTTGCCGGTCAGTGTATATACAAATAATGTTTTCTATAATGGCACAAAGATAATAATGTGATATAAAAATGTAAAAGATAAAAAGTTTAAGTAAAATTTTCAAAATAAATAGAAATCTATCATCTAAAAAAATAATGTTACCTACGTTTTTTGTCAATCCAATGAGTTAAATAGAACTGGGATAGACGTTACAATAATTTTGTCCTTTTTACTTTCCCAGCGTTGCTAGAAAAGTAGTGTATTTAGCGAATGGTTAATTGATTAATTTCATTTTTCTCGACTCCTAGAGCATGAAAAAGTAGGTTTTCCGTTTGTGTTGCCGGTCTATCTGTCGTTTGTTCGTAATTTAATTAGACAGTCTACTAAACCATTGGACTGACTGTTATAAAATTTTAGAAGTATTTTGAAAGCGAGTTTCCAATTAATTTTTTTTAATATTTTTTGACATAACAGAGTCAGAGTGTCAATAAGAATCGAAAGTGGCAGTCAGTGCGGATCTTCTTTTGAATAGAGACCAATGAACTGCAAAATGTTACTGTTGTTACACTATTTTTAATTCTTTTCCAAAAATTCTTGTGCACATAGTTAGAAACAGAACTTGTGCTTAATGAAAATATTTGTTTTTTTTTAAGTTAATTGTCCACGTACTTCATTTTTAAAGATTTTTTGTGATCTACACCGTCACTAATTAATTGTGCAATTTGCTACGAAACATGGGCATTTTAAATCCTCTGTAGTATCTTCATAATTATATAGTACCGTCAGGACTAGCATCTATAACACCAATTTGCTAGTCTTAAATTTACAAACGCGAAAGATGAAAAAATTAATAGAACGAAAATAATTCGGCCATAAATTTTCTCATTTTCGCAGTGATTTTTTTATTTTTTGAAATAAACCTCTTTGTTTTTATACATATTTATTATATTATTTTGATGATCAATACAAAACTACAAGTATCCTGAGAATGATTGTGTGAATTGTGCGAGTAATAAATTAATATCTGTAACAAATCATCATGTTTGTAGATTAAAAATCGACGTCTCTCTCTTTTTTTTTGCGATTCACGATATTACAATTTGAGCAAAGTAGTGTAATAAATTGCGTACACGAATCAATTTTTAAATTTACAAATGAAGCGTTTGATACTTTTTAAATTGGGTAGCGAAATCTCGAGATACTTAGGCAACCATCATCAAAGGTGCCGACAGTGGCAGTGATTTCTATCCTGAACATTGGGATTAAGCCTATATTTATTTATATGATCACACAAAAAAAATGTCCCGTATGTGTATGTATTTTATGAATATCGAATATATTTGGCTAATCATCCCTACCAACAACGGTATGACGTAATTTCCAAATTTTCAATAGTAAAGATCTAAAGATCTTATTTAAATTTTATAAAATAATACTCCATTTGTGTTGAGTTTTTACTCTTATTAGATATCTTGATTTTTTGGAAAAAAGTCAAAATTGTATAACATTTTGTAATTTAACTTTGAAACTGTAAAACTTTGAAAACATTTTAAGGTTATCGTAATCAGTGTATTCATATTTTTTAGAATTACTTACACAGGTTGACACAAAACAATTAATAAATGAGGATATCTTTTACTGACCAAATTAAGAACGGTGCACACCAATTTTCCCGAAAATTTCAGTATACAGCACTGTTGTTATTGGTATTACACTCTATTGAAATTGATCTACATGCCCTTGCTAGAATAATGTTTGTGACGTCATTGCAAAATTTTGTTACGGTAAAACTCACTTGAAATAGGCGCATAGCATGCTTGTTTACTTACTCGAACAATTCACACCTACCGTTTTCTAACTTATCGCGGTTATAGATTTTATAATTTTTCGAAGAATCTGTACTTGGTTGCCTGTACTTCAAAAGAGAAGGAAGTTCTGTTTAAATAAATTTAGATCAATTTTGTAAACACATATAACGTAATAATAGCATTTTCAACATGTAAACACAGTAACAGTGATTTTAAAATTAAAATCATAAATTAACATTAATCACTTGTAAAGATCCATGTGAAAACAAGTAAGAAATATTAATTGAGGAATAAAACATATGTATAAGTTTAAAAATCGCAGACGAAAATTAGCTCGCCACTGAGGTAAGTTCAAAAAGTGGTGATCAATTTTCACCTTTGGACTAAAAAATGACTTTAATTTATTATTTCATTTATTGTTTAAAGATCTTTTTGGACTGTTATTTTTCATTTCGCCATTGATACTTCATGTGAAACTTAAACCTGTTTTTTTTTTGTTTTTATCCTAGATGATCTAAATCTTACTTTAACTCACGATTCTACCACATCTTTCACTATTCGTTTTACATTGGAATCTATACCAATAGGGTTGGACACAAAAATGTATTAACATTTTTTTCCCATAGGCCTGTTATGACAATTACGGGAGCCAAAAATGCCAAACTAATTTGTATTAGAGATGACAATTCATTGGTCGACAGTGACGAACTTAGTAAAATAGACAAAGAAGTCATGACAGAGAAAGAAGTGAAGCAAATATCATCTGGAACACAGACTGAATTAAAACAAGACAAACGATCAAACAAATCGACCATAAAAATTAGTCGACTTCCAAGACATACCAGAAAACCGCTGACATTGTTATCCAAGGATTATGCAATTAATATTATTCAGTACAAGTTGCGATATAATCATTTTCATAAACACAATCCCATGTATAGGAAGTCGGTGCACATCCAACCTTGGGTACTAATGGGGAAGTAAGGTGTTGCAACCATGAGTATTCTTGTATGGTTAACACGTGTGTTTTAGGATTTCCGATGACATTTTCAACTATACTCTACAGTCCGTCACAGAGGAATTAGAGGTGAATGAAATTCTTGTAAACTTATACAACGCAGAATTTCAATACTAATTTTATTTTTTTTTTTATACTTTTGTAATAAAATAAATAAAACAATTATTACCTATAACGAATTTTATTTACTACGTTCCATGAAAAGTCACAATGCAGATCTAAAATAAACTTTACTCACTATAATACTATTACTCGAACTAAATACGTTAACATGTTGCACATATTACAGCAAGACGTGAAAAGTTATAAAAAATGAAATAGTTAGACTGAAGGTGTGTATACTTCAGGAGGATATTGAATTCCTAAAATCTTATGACAAACAGCAAATGCTGCCATCTTCTTGGCGGATTTTTTATTGGGACCTGCACAATACAAATTTACATAAATAATCTGTTCATTCAACAATTGCTCAATATTACCTGTTCCTGTGAAATTCTGACCATCAATGGTGCACTTGAATGTAAAAATAACGTTTGGAGGATTACCCTGTCTCCCGAGTTCCTCAAACTGTGCATGTGGTAACATCTGATTCAACAACATCATAGGGTTCATGTGTGCAGCATTTTCAGGCATCTTTTTGGCAGGTCTATTTGTTGCTTGCGGTTGAGCAACAGCGTCCTAACGAAAAACATTTGCCTATATTAGAGTTGCTTCTTGTTATTAATGTTCTAATTTACCCCTCTTGTTTGGTTTGGATCTTCTCCCCACGCATGCAACAATTTGTACAATGCGAATGAAGCCACGTGTTGCCATGGTAACGTAGGTGCACCGTCTTCAGTTGTTTCCATTTTTTCATCGCCGTCTTCATCTTTTTTTAAAGCCGAGAACTGACGGTTCTTAACGATATATTTGAGAGCATTTTCAGCAGCCATACTTTTGGCCTCCATTTTGTTGCGTCCTGTACACGCAAAAATAATTACTGGAGGTGTTTACATTTTCAAGTCAATATAAAACCCACTTTATAACGTCTAACTGATTTTTCTTAATTACATATTTTTGAAAATTATGTATATAGGTCTATAGGCCTTGCAGACCCAAGGTTTAATTCGTGAAAAATACTCTCTCTAAAAGAAACAACTATAAAGATAAAAAATCTAAAATGATGCTTATTTGGCGATATAAAAACTTATTAACACTTCGGGTTTCAGTTGAAACAAATGCTGCTAGCCTTTTTTTGAAAATTTCAGTTTAAAAACTTGTTTTTGTAATTTGATAGCGACAATTTGCTGGCAAATGGTAATGTACGCTTCATTACTATGGACAAATTTTAAGATTATCTATCCAACTCTCAGAAGCCTGGCCAAATACGAATTTTACATAGAATGATCAAAACGACCGCTTCCACGTATCATCGTTAGCCTAATATTCCACAGGTGTAACGCTAGGCAAAGGACTGAATACCAATGCGTGGCTGACTCCATGTGGAAAGTATCTATGTAACTACATTGGGAACCAATATGTACTTACCATGTCCCACGTGACTAACACCATCAACAAGAACTGTGGCTGTATACTGATTCATTTCAGACGGTTGTGGCAGATCTGTTACAGTATATGTTGCACTTTTCACTAATTCATTCAATATCATAACGGCATTTTTAGGTTGTAACATCTTGCTCAATCGGACATTTCGACGACGTTGACGTTCTTTCCTGGTAATTTTTCCTACAAAAGGATAATATTGTGTTAACGTGTTTTTGTTCGTTAGGTAACCTATTTATTTATTTTAGATTGAAATTATTTCAGTTAACATATTTCACACTGCCATCACCGTATTAGGAGGCTTCAAATTTGCGCAGTGATTGTCATCATTTTGATGTTCAACATATAACAAAAAACTTGATACATGTTAGTACAATTCATTTGATAAACCGATATTGTTCGCTTTACTGTACATTTATTTTTCAATTTAAAGTTACAAATCCATACTTGTTCGCATGTTTATGCAATGGAATTAAAAAGATTTGCTTTAAGATTAGCTCAAAAATACAAATAAATTTAAAAAATTGATTGAAAGTTATTTCGACAGAACTTCCTTAGCCCCTAGTACAGTCGAACAAATATGGCTTAGAAAAATTCTAAAATTTAACTTTGAGAAACTTTTTTTAATTATTATGACCCCTTTGAGCTAAAATTAATATATGTGTTAAAATACAGGCAAAGAACCCTCGTATGCATGTTTTTAGTGAGTTCTTCCATATAAAAATGTTTTGATGACATCATCCACAGTTTAGCAAAGGCGCGTGTATTAATTTAAATAGGTGCCGCGTAATACTATTAATAACAGGTACTTATATACTGAAATTTTCGGGAAAATGCGATGGATGTAAAACATGTCGTCATTTTTTGAGTCACCCTGTATAAGTAATTCTAAAAAATTGGTCCGAGTCCATTTCGAGAGAACTCTCCTCACGTCTGAAGTGCAATTTTTATACAATGGTGGGCATCGTGGGTTAAAATACAGGTAAAGAAGCATCGCATGCATGCTTCCAGAAACAGGTGAGGAGACATATATACCATTTTTCGACATTCCATCTGGATGCGAGTGTTCAAAGATGATCCCACATCAACAACTGTAAGAAATAGCGTTGAGTGAAGTCATGTACGCTCTGTTCTTCAGAAGTCCGGGGCTACTCAAAACAGTTAAGTGGACGAACAGAAGACTGTTGCAGCATGTTTACACACCCGAAAATGTGTGTCAGAACTGTTGCACGAACTCACTGTTAAAGGTTTAATCCTCCCCCACGATAATTCCTCCTCACATACAACGAGAACAACGGTTTAGTTTTTATCCGGAAACCATTAAAATTATTCAACATCCACCATACTCTCTGATTTAGCAATGTGTAACTTAAGCCCATTTTTTTACTTCCCGAACATAATTTAAGGAACCATTGTTAGAATCTATCGGGCGATTGACTACTTTCATGAACCCGAAGCATGTGCCGATTATGAGTCCGTGTGAAGTTTTTACCCTAGGCATCGAGATTCTTGCGAGAAAATTTTATAACATTTTACAATTTAACTTTGAAATTGCAAAACCGAATGATGTGAAATCTTGCAAATATTTTAATGTTATTATTGGAAACAACATTTATCAAAATTTACCCGTTTATGTTCCCACCCAAAAAATACTGATATGATCCTACGAAGTGAATGAATAAATAATGTTCTTCAAATTTATGAGTGTTTACGCTAGGCATCTAGTTTTGGGGGAGAAAAAGTGAGTGTGCTTAATTAATTAATTCTCTCGTCTGCATTGAGGAGGCAAAATCAATCAAATTGCGTTTTCTTTTAACACAAATGCTGTCGCTAAACGTGTCAATAGACGAATTCTTTCGAAGTATATACATGACGTTAAGAATATACTGAGAAATTGAGAATACAGTTTTCCCTTGGAATTTGGAATAGTCCCGCGGCGCAGGTGTTGCAGGAGTGTTATTTACGCCACTAGTTTGTACTTTATAGAGGCCATCACAAAACAAAATCATAAGTGGTAAAAACTGATCAAGCAAACAATGCGCAAGACCTCGCTTAGTTACGTTATCTAACGTGCTGGCGTTCCAAAATTTACTCAAATAGGTCTTCCCCTGATTATGATGAATTAATAATGCTGTATCAGTAAATCTGACATTCGTGTTTCCATTTACGAACAATATAAATATACATGTACTTTTATTTATTAAATGAATAAAAAATAAAACCGTACCGACTTTCATAGCCCAGAAAGGTTTTTTCTTAACTTGCTCATCTACTGCCATTTGATCTTCTTTTTGAAAAGCATCATTTGGATCTTGTTTCACTATTTGTGGTGGTGGCGGTGCTTGTTGTGGTTGTGGTTGTGGCTGTGACTGAGGTTGTTGTTGTGGCTGTTGCTGCTGTTGTTGTATTTTGCCAGGTGGACTTTGGTGCTGTTGCTGTTGTATTTTGCCAGGTGGACCTTGCTGCTGTTGCTGTTGTATTTTGCCAGGTGGACCTTGCTGCTGTATTTTGCCAGGTGGACCTTGTTGCTGCATTGGGCCTGGATGCCGCTGCGGTGGTGGTCCAGACATTCTCTAAAGTAATACAACAAATTTAAACATGGTTTCATACAGGATAATGTGAAGGCCGTGTGCGTTTCGTCAGTACGGCTCAATCAATAAAGTTAAAGCCTTAATCTTTGAAACACATGATCTACCACAGGTTGTAAAGCTAACAAGATTCCATGTGCTTGCAGCGCTGCTCCCTGTGGTACACTAAATTGGACTTACATACCTGTTGTCCTTGGGGTCTGAAATTTCCATTTGATTGAGGCGGTCCTTGCGGTCTGGGGTGTTGTGCCCTATTTTGGTTCGCCAGCTATGTGAGCAGGTTTAATTTGGCGTTAAATAAAACCTTTGCGGTTGTGAGCACCGGTATAGGTGCATCTTTAACTGAGATGTGTGCACATCTTGCAGCTAAAGATTTCAGTTCTACCATACCTTGATTGTAATTGTTTTTCACAAGGTTTGTTTGATGCCTGGAGTATGCTTTATCAAACAAACATTGAAACAAAAAGGTAACCAAGGTACACGTTTACAGTTCAATCACCAAAGATTACAATAATCGTCTGGAAGCAGTTGCACATATGCATCGAATCAAGCCGAAACATATGCTGCAAAATTACATTTCCAGTGCTTGTAATTTTTGTTGGAGGAACAAAATACAAAGAGACTCCTATAACAGTACCACTACCCAGGCTCTTTGTAGCCATGGCCCGTTGACACCTACATAATTAAATCTTGTTAGATTGGACAAGTTCATATGAGGAACCAAAATTATTGAAAACTTTCCGCTAACAGTAGTGATATTGAAACAAATCAAATTTCTAATTGCATTTGGCTTAAAGAAATTCTGTACTTTTTAAGCTTTTAGTTAGTGCAACATTTCTTATGTAAGATACGCTTTTGACTATTTTGACTGATTTATTAATAAAAAGATTGCTCTTACCTGTCCGCCTGATACAAAATTATTCGTAAGTGGTGGATTGCGACGAGCGCCAATGCTGTTGATTCCTGAAAAATTCTGAGTAGAAAAACGAATTAGTACTATTCTAAATTTTACCTTCCGCACTTCTTCTTGTATTATATGCCATTTTGCTGCTTTCACTTGTGTAATCAAGTCCTTGTGTTTTAGGTTTTAATGGATACGATGATACGATAAATACACAATGCTAGACAACGCCGCTAAACACAAAATGGCCACAAATGGCCACAAAGACGAGGTTGTAACGCGGTCGTAGCTTGTAGCAGCAGGAAATAGCTGTTGCGCAGGTCCGCGCAACGCAGCACATAGAAATAGTGAGTCCGCAATAAAATAAAGCGTCAGAACCATAGATTAATATAGATGCGACATACAGGCTGATTTTGCAAAACCACCCCTATTGACATTGGAGTCCTCAACCCATGGTAGAAGGAGACATGGTATAGGCATCCGATGTACCAATTTAAAAATGGTCTGCGCATCCATTTGTGACGTTAGGTGGCATCAACGACCTTGTGACTCTTGTAAGCTTCGCTAGGGAAGTCTAGGGAATTTCAGCTTGAGTTGTCATTGCTCTGTCCAATACGTCAATTAGTTGTCGGATAACGAATTGTATTTTAAATTTCGCGCAAATTTCACCCCACTTGACGTCACACCAGATGCGTATGCCTATACCATGATACAAGTAAATATGGTATGGACATCCCATGAACCAAAACTCGTCTTCTTCTGCGCAACGTTATCTGACGTCATGTGGAATGAATGACCTTTCACTTCTGATGTCAAATATCAATTTTAAGGGTTATGAGGCAGTTATGATTTTTGTGGTTATGAGGGTTATTGTTTATTGTTACCAAACTGATGCGTAAAAACAAATTGGTGGTTTGCTAGCGACCTAGCGTTGTTAAAAAAATAGCGGGGATGATAGCAAATAAGAAAATATGTATATTTCAGCCGAAGATACTCTGCAGAATAAAAATTGTGAAACATTGCAAATTGTTTTTACACTGATTGTGAATAGTAATAATAATTGTACAAAGAATCTCGTACATTTGGTAAGTACAAACCAATAATTTAATACACAACTATTAACCAGTATGGCGATCCTGTTACTGTCATTTGGCCGTCAATTGCCTTGGTGGTAACACGTCTTCCACGACTGTTTGCTGGTTACCGGTGACACTTTCTCGTTGAATAGGGCTGGAGTTGCTTTGGGACTGGAATAGTGTTCTTTCCGGTCCGTTAACTCAATAATTCTAGTACAGTCTGTCGTAACCTCAAATCGTAAACACATCAACCTTTCGTTGACAGATAGCGAAAATTACTAGCCTCGCGCTATCTTTGTTTAACACATAGGTTAGGTTCATGTTAGGTTCCTCTCTGTCGAATTCCGACCACAGGCAGTTTGCCGTACTTTCTAAAGGTAATAGTAGATTAACTAGTGACTTTAGTTGGGCTCGGTAAATATTTCAATTTCCCGCCTGAATACAGCCAGGTGACGTCAGCAAACCTGCGTATGTCCATACCATATTTACTTGTATCATGGCCTATACCATGTCTTCTTCTACCATGCCCACGGCTGTAGAATAGATAGGTTGAGTATCTTTCATTCATTCACGTTCCGGTAGGTGGAATAATTTCTTTCCGTACCAGTTGGCCATGACGCGCGTTATCGAATGGGTCTTTGACCATTGTTTACACTAGCTACTATGCGACTTCTCTGAAACCGTTTTTGCAGAACCCTCATACAACGCCCCTGCCCTGATCGCGTTCCTACTCTTCAAATGTTATGAGAAATGTTTGTACAACATTTGAAGGTTAGGTAGGAACGTGATCAGGGGTGTTGTATGAGGTTTTTGTGGGGGCGGATTCGGCAAAATCGCGGTGGCTAATGTAATCAATTACCGAAAAGTTCTTAACCAGTACATTGTCAACTTGTTTTTCGACGGAATCTGTGTTTATCTGGTCATCGCACATGCTTGTTTAATGATTGTTTACATGAAACAATAGTGCTAGAAATATCGAACAAACCTGCGGTTGCCGAGGTTTGTTGTGTATAAAATGTACGTTTCTCTCTGAGTTGGCGATCTCGTTAAACCAATTTAAACAGTAATTTCTATCATAATACATCAACTAGAAGTAGAATGACAGTTTTGGCAGCCTGTCAGTTGTCAATTTGCCATTGCAGTAGTGGAAAATTTCATTCATAAAGATGTTAGTGTGTAATCGTAATTCACAGATGGCGAAACGATCTAAAGCGCGCCAAAGCCGCCTAGGACACCCAAATTTTATTCCACCAAATTTCCCTCAGTGTACCAACCTTATATTCTACAGCCGTGACCATGCCTCAACCGACAAAGGCAAGCGGCAAATTTAAATAGTCAATGCCAATAAAAACCTTATTTCACTACAACTGTGATCCGTGTGAGCTGAATTAAAGTGAAGGAAACAGTAAGCAGCTTGTAATATTCTGGTATACCTTATGTCATTTCAAAATTTCAGCAAACTTCATTATCGAAAAATAGATGGATAATTCCTCTTGCTCTCGTCACTGCCATACCATTTACCCTTGGCATATTTACAAATCTGTTCTTTTAGGATCTTTGCTGGGTGCTTTTAACTTGTTCTCTAACTTCTACACTCCATAAGAACATAATCTATCATAAATATTGCGATAGAACGCGCTCATAGAAACGATTCAAATTTAATGAGGTTCTGGACGCCTCAGCTGACAGATCAGTCACTATTGCATTGTATGTAGATAAAGTAAAATAAGGAGGTGTAAAAAAATACTAAACTACACAGTTAAGAGTAAATTTTTGGGTTTTGCGTGTCCTTGATTTTATTCACTTTGAAAAATAATATAAATCTAGTGTCACTTTGTCGAAGGTAAAACGCGTCGTTAAAAATATTATGAATTTATGACATTTCTTCTAGTTAATTTTATTCCTATTATCCATTCACGATCTTTATATAGTAAAGTAGGCTTTGATATTTTTGCTTTAAGTTGTATAACTGATTTGATGATTTAGTTTTTTGTCTGTCAGTGTCAGTAGTCTGATTCACATTTGCTTCAAGCTGGATTGCCACTTTTCTACTTCATTTATTAGATCAGAATTATTAGACGCAATTTTTTAATCAAGCAAACAAATGTTTTAATTTTGTCAGCATAGATAATTTGTCATTGTGACAGATTCACAGATCATTGCGACATTATTTAAAAAGAAAATGCCTAATAGATATTTATTTTATTAGGAGTTTAAGTGATACTTTATTATGTGACGGAGTATGGACGATTAAACGCCGAGCAATAGCGAGGCGAATTAAGTCCATACGAGTCACATAAAGTCACTTAAACTCCGAATGAAATACAATATTTTATTTTCAAACGATTAATCTTCTTTTGAAATGATTATTTCCCATCTTCTTGCTTCATTAAGGAATTGCCTTGATTTCACTTACCATGGTTACTATGGTTGACAACCACTATGATTTTCACATATTTATATTCCGGCGGAGTATAAATGCTTTATTTATACGCCGGCGGAGTATAAATGCTTTATTTATACGCCGGCGGAGTATAAGCAGTACTTATACGCCGCTCAAACACGGTGTCATAGAAATGACACTTAAACCCCGGTAAGACCGTCATATAAGTGTCAGTTATATGACGTTTGAAAATAATATAGTTTTACTGCAACAAAAAATCGAACATTTTTTCTGTAATGTAAAAATACGTTGGAAAATATTTTTTAATTTTTTTTCTCATAGGTGGGAACATCGACTGTGGCGAACATTTTTTCAACAGGGGACCAAAATATAAAAACATCACTATCTGGCAAGCGAAAACCAACGGATTTATTTACAAATTATATGTTTCGGAAAGACCTGCAACGACAAATTTGGCAACCAATATTTCACTGTAGATACTCTTTTGGCATATTCTAGGAAACAGTTGGACTTTAAAGGGGGGCGAACGACATTATACAAAATTCTTAAGTCAATGGGTTATAAACACAGGGAAGCAAATGGTCGCAAAATTCTAGTTAACAAAAACATGCAGCCAAAATTACTTTTTTGAGAACATATTTACAGTTTCTAAATTCTTGTGAAAATTTAACTTTCGTGTATTTGGATGAAACATGGATCTATCAAAATGGTTCGTCCATTCGTCGCTGGATGCACGATACAGATCTAAAAAGCAATCCCACCAAAATTAAAAGTGAAGGATCAAGGTTTTACTATTCTCCACGCGGGTTGTTCAACGGGGTTCTTGGATGGTTGTAACAATTTTTTAAATTCAAAAAATAACGATAGAGACTATCATAAAACAATGGACGGGACAATTTTTCAAAATTGGGTGGTTAATCAGTTCATTTCTGCTTTGGCAAAATTGAACCAAAAATGTGTGGTGGTTTTGGACAATGCACCGTATCATTCGGTTCAATTGGATAAACCACCCACTTTTTCTAGTAAAAAATGTGAAATGCAGGAATGGCTCTTTAAACATAGTATTGAACTTGCCAAAAAATTTTCGAAGAAACAGTTGTGGGATTTAATTAAACCCTTCAGAAACAATAGAAAAAAAAAGATATTTGGTAGACGAGACATTAAGAGAAAGTGGCCATGAAGTTCTTAGATTACCTCCGTACCATTGTCAATATAATCCAATTGAAATGGCGTGGGAATTTTGTAAGAATTATTACAACAAGCATATACATTCTCAATCTTCATTAAAAAATAGGGTGGAGAATTTATGGCTTGAGGCGCTTTCTAAATGTGGCAAAATTTTTGTAAACATTGTGAAAAACTTATTTTGACAGACCGGGAAAAAATATGGGAAATCTTTCGTACGAATCTATACCTCCTTTCATTATTTCGCTAGGCGAATTTGATTCAGAATCTGAATTTGAAAATGACGGTGATGATACAGATTTTCATAGCGCAATAATGAAAATGGAGTGAATTGTAGCTTGTCGGGGGGTGATATTTTTACGCATCTTTCGTTCTAAATTTACCAAGGTAGTATGTGAAAAACTACCTGACGTACAACAAAATAAGTATAATTTTAGTTAGATCATCCACGTTGTTACTTTG